TTCATAAATTAAAGATAAATACGAGACATATTACATAAGTCTCTTACAAATACACTACTATGTCGAATATTATGTAAATAGCAGAAGAAAGCTACTGGTATTAGCAATTTTCAAAACGTTCCTTTTTCGTGGCTAGGGTATTTTTTTTCACTTATTTCGCTCTTGATCAAATAACATGAATATTGCTACTTTAGATAAGTATATACTTTTGTAATTAAATGGTATTCACCAATATATATTTACAGGTTGATCAAAATTAGCATATATAAAGGAAACATAAATTTTAACAGCAGTTCCTCAGATACCCAAACAATAACTAATACTCATTATGAAAAACGTTTAAATATTTAAGAATGATTTAAAGCTCAAGTTGTTAGTACTTTTCGATGTTATTCAAATGGTTTAAATAACCAACATGTACGTAGTCTTTAAATATTGTTGATTTATTCCGGGAAATAAAAGATTTTAGCAATTTGTCAACAATAAGAATGACAATTTTCAATAATGTCTCATACAATACCTCCTAATGGTTCTTATTTCAATCCAAATCCAAATAATAGAAAATATTTTCCATACAACTGTATACACGAAAGATGATAGAGAATAGAAGGTGACCCATGTATTCTTTTTTCCTCGTTTGTCGGGTTTAAAGAGGGACTTGCATTTGTTATCATTCATTTATTGTGTTAAACATAGGGAGGATTCCCGTTTTAGCATAGAAGAGATGCCTGTTAGCAAATAACCTCATTTGTTGTGTTTAAATATGGATATATGCCGGTTAGCAAATAACCTCATTTGTTGTGTTTAAATATGGATACAAGCATGTTAGCGAAAATACTCTCGTTTGTTGTGTTTAAATATGGATATATGCCTGTAAGCGAAAAAACTTTCGTTTGTTGTGTTTAAATATGGATAGATGCCTGTTAGCGAGAAAACTCTCGTTTGCTGTGTTTAAATGTTGATATATGCCTGTTAGCGAAAAAACTCTCGTTTGCTGTGTTTAAATATTGATATATGCCTGTTAGCGAGAAAACTCTCGTTTGTTGTTTAAATATGGATATATGCCTGTTAGCGAAAAATTCTCGTTTGTTGTGTTTAAATATGGATATATGCCTGTTAGCGAAAAAACTCGTTTGTTGTGTTTAAATATGGATATATGACTGTTAGCGAAAACACTCTCGTTTGTTGTGTTTAAATATGGATATATGCCTGTTAGCGAAAAAACTCTCGTTTGTTGTGTTTAAATATGGACAGATGCCTGTTAGCGAAAAAACTCTCGTTTATTGTGTTTAAATATGGATATATGCCTGTAAGCGAAAAAACTTTCGTTTGTTGTGTTTAAATATGGATAGATGCCTGTTAGCGAAAAAACTCTCGTTTATTGTGTTTAAATATGGATAGATGCCTGTTAGCGAAAAAACTCTCGTTTGCTGTGTTTAAATGTTGATATATGCCTGTTAGCGAGAAAACTCTCGTTTGTTGTTTAAATATGGATATATGCCTGTTAGCGAAAAATTCTCGTTTGTTGTGTTTAAATATGGATATAAGCATGTTAGCGAAAAAACTCTCGTTTGTTGTGTTTAAATATGGATATATGACTGTTAGCGAAAAAACTCTCGTTTGTTGTGTTTAAATATGGATATGTGCCTGTTAGCGAAAAAACTCTCGTTTGTTGGCGGTATAGAAGATGGGATCCCTCTTGTCACAAACAAACTCGTTTGTGGTGTGTAAAGCTTGGTGGGTCCCTGCTATATTTAGCACCCCTTTGTTGTGTTACGGGTGTTTTAAGTTGTGAGGGTCCCTGTTATCAACCACACTTATTTATTGTGTTTTGAGTCATCACATACGCTTTTATTGGGTTAAGAGCAAAGAGGTCCATGCTGTCACATATATTCTTTTGCTGGGTTAAAAGCAAAGTGGGTCCATATCATCAACTACACTCGTTTGCTGGATATTAAATTACTATAGGTCCCTATTATCAAATATTTATTTATAGGGTTTTTAATCAGGATACATTTCTGTCATCACATATTCTCGATCGTTGGAATTAATACAACAACAAAATATATTGCAAATAACTTATTCCATACAATATACATTCAATGGATAAAAATATAAGGTAAGCAATTCAACATATATAACATAACACAAAAAAGGCATATATCGGAAAACAGGTATATCGCAATGTACGGGTATATCGTATCGCAATATTTTTCAAACGCATATCTTTATGTATCTGCTTGGTGTTTTAAATGTGCAAATTACTACAAATTCTAACAGATATGTCAATAAGCATAGAACAGGCTTTTTCATAGTTCAAATTTTGTAATCGATGGTTGGTCTGAGAATAATCTTAAATCTTACATAAGATTGGGTTGGTTACATTCTGAAAACAAGTTACCATAAAATTGAGCACATCGTTCCGATGACAATATATCGGGAAACGTCTCACAATTCATTCATTCTGTATTGCAATACATCTCTTGGCGTATTGTGACTCCCCTATCATTTATCAAGGTGACTTATATTGTCTATTACATTGAATAAATTCAAGTTTGCATGACGACTTTATCACTACAAACCAATATTACTGTTCTGTAACAACATAATTATTTAAATATATGTTTGTGTTAATTTTAAAAAGATGCCCATTTACATTTTAAGATGTATTCATTGTGTTTAGTTATAGTGGATACTGATGTATTTTTTTAATAAAACCCTGTAGTGCTTATGACCAATAACATATGTGATACGACCAGGTCATGCATTTGGCTTAGGTTTTGTGTTGCATATATTACTGCAATATATAATTTATTCATATAAATAATGTTAACTTCAAAGACATCAACACATTAGGATATGCACATGGCATCTCCCATTATATCCAATGTAAATGTGAATATATTTAGATAGTCCTTTATGAGTTCCCTCCCCTTATATTTAGTGTCGATATAGACACCAAGCTATGTCTACGCACGGACTTAGATCTATCTAATTCCGTGGTCTAGATCTACGCAAGGGCTTTTCAGTGATATCTAGTGTTGATACGGACGTCAAACTAGACTTCTCTCCCCTTAAATAAAGTGATAATATGGAAACTGAGCCAGGTCTTAACAAGGCCTTTTATTATATCCAGTGTTAATATGGACATCATGCTAGCCCGATGTGAGTTACCTCCCCGTATATCAAGCACTAATGTGAGGATCTGGTTGAGCCTACACAATTTATCTTCCCTTATATCAAGAGTCAATATGGACATCAAGCCAGGCCGATAGGACTTCTCTGTCATTGTATTAGGATTAATTTGGTCCAATTATATTAAGGGTTAGTTTGAACACTCAGCTCGATCTACACGTGACCTCAATACGTTTTGTGAGACATCAAGTAAGCCCTTTTTAAGTTCTCTCCTCTCAAACCAAGTGTTCGTATGGACACCAAGCTCTAGTCGAGAATTGATTCGAACATCACGCCTGGCCGATAGCCGTTCTCTACCGTGTTATTAAGGGTTAATTTAGACACAAAGCTAGATCTTAAACAACATTTAAGAAAAATAGGAAAAAACTTTGAACATCATATGAATGTTACCAACTTATTGTTTTGTGTTATTTTTTTATATACTATGAAAAGTGTGCTGACATATCAACACTGTACACATGTTTAGTAAATGATGTGGTAAGATATGTACAACATATTGAAAATTAAAACAATTAAAATCTAAATATATATTAAGGACTCGGCGCTAAATTCAACTCATGTTCGATAGAAAATATTCGAAGAAATGATGAAAAACCCCTAAAACAATGTTTTTGATATGAGAGCAAAGGAAAACTTTGCAATTTAGTGTGTATATATCTATATATATATAACTGGATAATGTATCTATATTGCCTTCATAACAGCGTACAATTCATTATATATCTCCATACTTTAGAAACTTCCATATAAATATTTAGTAAATAGTTTAGAGGATATAAATACTGCGCACATATATCTTATAACATCGCCTTTTCTCAACAACAAGTAAATCAAGATAAAACACATTGTGTTTGATGTCATCTTGAAAAAGAGTACCTAGAAGACATCATTGAACCATACCCTTACAGCGATATAAATGTAAGATACCCACTAAGAAATAGCCGTATTTTCAATCCCCCTTTCTGTAGAACTGAGAATTATTTCAATAGTTATTTTCCCTCAATGTGTAGAGAATTTAACCTTTTATCTGCAGAAACTTTAAATGCTACTTCCCTTCAACAATTTTAAAATTTCATCAAGTCTGACAATATGAACAACACTAAAGAAATTACTAGCACATTTAAATACTATGGGCCAAGAAAATTCAATATCATAATTTGTCAGCTAAGAAATCATGCTAGCAACCTAAATAGTGACTTATATATGGATCATCTGAATGACACACCAGCATGTAGATGTGGACATGAAAATGAAATTGGATTTCATTTTATATTTGAATACCCACTCTATAACAACATTAGAATGCAATTAGAAATAAAAAATTCTCTATTTGGTATAACTAATAATCATGATCATTTTAATCTAAAAACTCTATTAAATGGGTGTTTTGCAGCACTGATATCAACATATCCATTTTACAATGTATATCTGACTATATTTGTCAAACTAATAGACTTGATATGTAATCTCACTCACAGCTAAACTTTACATTGAAAATGATGCTATTATTTATAGTGTCATGATCACTCTGCTTATAAGTATTGATTCTGGTGTATATACATTTTGTATATCTATCTTCACAACATCTCTGGTATTCGGCTGGACTGGATGGAATTTATGAATGTTCTTTTTTATAACCTGTTCTAACTATTTCATAGTTACATGAATATTCTATAGTGCTTTGTTAAATAAATTTTAAGAGAATCAACTCTTTTCCTATATGAATCCATATCACATTCTGATTTTTTTTCAAAATGTTTATTTCTTTGTAACTTATCCTATATATCCAGTGGGTGGATGGCCAATGTGTTTATACAAAGGGACCTTTGGGCCTGTATCCCTTGGATTTTATGTAGGATGGGTTATCAACATATGTACATGTTGATAAGTTTCTCAATTGTTAGTATCCAAAACATAAACAGAAAATGATTTAATAAAAGTTGAAAAATGTTCATTTCACAAGCTAAATTGGAGTTATCTCCCCTGCACTGTTTAATTGGATTGTTATGACAGAATATATGTAATGTTTGGAAATAAGTTTGGAAAGCACAGCCTGATATCCAATCCAATTGACATATATAAAGTCAATAAAATCTGTTGCAATTGAAATTGAATCTTGAAATGGTTTAAGTCGAAACACTTTGTATTCTAAAATCATAAATTATGCTTTTCTTGAAATAATTCCAAATTGATAGTGTTAAAATAAATATCTCCTTATAAAGGTACCAATCTGGAATAAAGTTTTCCAACGGTTTAGAATGATGCCCTTATATAAACAATCATAATCATATACCATTAAAACATGATACCTGAAAAGTAAATGGCATATTTATATATCCTTTTCAACGAAAAGGGTTATAACTCCGAGGAAAAGTGTTGACAATAAGATTGAAGTGTTAACACGAAAATACTTCCTAACGCTACACTTTATACTGATATCTTTACAAAGAAGCACTGATATACTTCTGTCTGAAGACAGACAGAGGGGCACCGCAAGTACAATACATATACATTAAAAATGTATCGGATTAACGAGTGTTCAGTACACGTATATTTGCAACAAAGAAATTAAAAAAAAAATATGTACATCATCATTAACAACAAAAACATGTACCAGATATCTTTTTTATGGTCCTTAATTTATACATACAATGATATTCCCTTTGATTTTTGATAGAATACAAGAAACCAGAAATGAAATTATGCTCACGACTCAACAATACACCCCTTTGTTAACTATGGTGAAACAGTTATTTACAATCATCTATCACTACTACACTTCCTAGCAGTTCAAATCGTTTCTACTTAATATCTGCCTCTGTAACTCCTTTTGCTGCTAACTCGTCCGTCACTCTCCCAAGGTACCCCGGATCTGGGTAGCCAAATCTAAAACAGAAAGTTAAACATCCGATTTTCAAGCAACGCTCTAAAAGAAACCTTTACATTTTCAATTCCAATTGCAATTAAAATCAAATGAAATTCCGAACTTTATCGTTTCAAATATGTTGCCGTATTGCTCTGCCCATGTAGCATGTGGGCAGTTTAAATTTTTTGAAATGAGAGGTATTCAAATAGACGACATTTAGATTTTTCAAATGATCCTTCCCTCATTCTTCCATTTTTTTGCTAGAACCTGCAATGATCTGCTTACACAAATGCTATCAATTCTTTAGTTATTTAAATACCTCAATGCAAATACATACCTGTTACACTACTAAAGACGTACCAAAACAATCACTTCTTCTCCTATCGCTTTCTTTGCAAATGAATATAGATACTGAGGTTTTTGAATGCAGTGAAAAGAAAGCCCCGCTCTGATATGTAAGATAAATTCGAGGTCTTACCTTATGTAATCACATGTGAGATTCTAAAAGTTTGGATATATAGCTTCTACGTTTGAGATATGTTTTACCTTTTACACAGGGAAGAAATACATCAGTAGCTATTTAAGTAGATATTTTCACTGCTTAAGTCAGAAGAACAAATATCTAATAGCTTTTAAATAACAGTTTTTGATATACCTGTGAGATCCTGCAGATATACAAATAATTTTAAAACTATCAAATCAGATATCTTCTTTGTGGTATAAATTGGTACAAGGTCAATTGAATTATAATTTAGCCTGACACATCTGTTTACCGTTAAAAGTAAGTAATTACACAAATAAGTAAGCCGTAACTATATTACAGATCTGTTTAACTCATGAATCCTGTCGGCAGACCTTACAAATCGGAGAGAGAAAACAATTGGGTTTCTACAAAGTGTGACTGGTTACCGTTTTTCGGTAAAAACCATAACAATTTTAGTAACATTTGAATTATTGACTTGTGTTTAATAGCTTTCAAATCATGACAACAAAATAATTAAAATGCTTTTAAATAAGAAATATAATTACCTATACATATATATATATATATATACAGTTATAAAATGCAACCCTGTTCTGTTGACATTTTTAGCATAGAAGTCTTGATTTCGATATAATTTAGCTGAAGAAACAAGTATTACTGTTGTTGGCCGCCAGTTTTGTTAGTTTTGTGGTGGATGTCATTCCAAGTGACCACATTTTCCTCCCCAGTCGTCCTTGAGTGTCCTATCGTGAAGGTCAGTCTTCTTTTGAAGGCAATCATCAACATTTCATGCACTGCTTTACCCTTGCTGTTGTTAGGGAGATATGCCGTCCTCATGGTACCTCTGTAAGGCTTGCCTGGATATGGGTGTTCGCTCTTTAAAAAATAGACATTGAACCGTCTGAGTGCTTATATCACAACCAAACATTTTTGACATCTTAAAAAAAATCTTTTCATATTAAAATTGCTATGCTAGCCTGATTTTGTGCCATAAAAAGATTTGAAACTGACAAAAATTCAATTAACACAAGATCGTGGTGTATAAAAAAACCCTCCAAATTGTTATTCTAAATTGTACCAAGCCAAAAATTCAACTCCAAATAAAATAAATATGCTTCTTAAGAGAAATTAATATTCATCTCAAAATAACTATATGCTTATAACGTGATCTAGTTAATTGGTTCGTATAACAGTTCACACAGTTACATAGGGTTTGGCTTAGATGGCTTTTGGCTATATTTTGCGATAAAATTTGATACATATAAAGAATGTAGGTCTTGATGTCATGCAGTGGTAATCCAGCTGACTTAGAGACATGCCGAGTTACACTCCCCTTAATTTCACTTAAACCTCGTTTTGAGATTCCAAGCGAAATACACATCCATTTTTCTCAATTATCTGATATTATACTTCATTCTTGGTTGTCTCAATTACACATAAAACAAACAAAAATCTAGAACTTGTACATTTGTATTTGCTAAACTAAAACTTATGTCTGTCTGTTTTTAATTTGCACACGTTCTGCGGGTGATGAAGGTGCACTTTCATTGAAACTTTCATCAATCTTTAACCTTTTAAAATGTATGACATAGTGGAATTCCATTTGATATTTGACATTGAGGTGATTGCCACAGCGACTTAATTATAGTAAAGCCACAAAATATATAAATTGTTTGATCAAAAATCATTAGGCAATTAAATAAGAACAAAACAATACCTAAGACGTTAAAATATGATATATGTATAAAACGTTATAAAGGAAAAAATAAATAGAAATAAAACAATCATTTTATAAAGTAAAAGCAGGATATCGCCTTTCCGTGTTTAAAGGGTATCGTTTAGGTATGCATTCGCCTTTCAGTATTTAAAGTGTATCGTTTAGGTATGCATTCGCCTTTCAGTAATTAAAGTGTATCGTTTAGGTATGCATTCGCCTTTCAGTATTTAAAGTGCATCGTTTAGGTATGCAATCGCCTTTCAGTACTTAAAGTGTATCGTTTAGGTATGCAATCGCCTTTCAGTATTGAAAGTGTATCGTTTAGGTATGCAGACTAAAACAATATCAGGTAAATGAAGTTGATCATCGCCAATACATATATATATGAAACAATCGATGCTCAGTTTGTAATGATTTCAATCACATACCTCTTGTATACCATCTGGAAAGCTGTAACTGATGTGGAAATGTTTTTCGCATTTTTCAAAGCCTGGTAAAGAGCCTGCTCTAAGGAAACTTTTCATTGTCCCACTCCGAGGCTGATTTCCAGTAACGACTCCGTATATAGTACCGCATGTCGGACAGACAGGCTTGTACTTGAATTGGGCATCAATGCATTCAGGGTGAAAAGAGTGATTGCATTTCGGAAGTGTTTTTACATTGTCACCAGTCACAGAATCAATACAAATCACGCAATCCTCATATATCACTGGTTTCTTTTCGCTTTTACCAAGCTCAGACTGGTTATGTTGGCTTAAATCTTCTTCCTGTTCAGACTGGTATTGGCCAACATAATCTCTCTTCTGTTCATGTTGGTCACTTTCATCTAGATTTCTCTCCAGTTTGGACGGGTAACGGTCACCAGGTTGGTCTCCCGGGTATCTCATCTTTTCGGGCGGGTAATGGATGTAGCTTTGCGGTTCAGGCTGGTAACGGTCACCAGGAAGGTCTCCCGGGTATCTCACCTGTTCGTGCGGGTAACGGATGTAGCTTTGCGGTTCAGGCAGGTTACGGTCCGCCGAGTCTCTCCCACTATCAACTTGACGATGTGTTGGCAGGCATCCTTCGCGCTGGGCCATTCCTGGATAAACCTTAGGCTGAATTGATTTTCGAATGCGTGCATTTTCGGCACTCACGTGATCATCAAACATTTTTACTATAGCCTTTGTGACAATTTGATCATGATTGACAAAATGTATATCGCTAAGGATGCCAGCCGGTTGTGGATTCAGGAAAAACTTCAGAATCGACTCCACGATAACTTTCGCAATCACTCCTGTCTTGCTTACGTCGTTGCCTATGAAACGAAAATACAACAGTAAGATCAGTCAGGATGATCATATTTGACTTTCAATCAACCCAAAACTTGACAAATTCTCGTTAACGTTCTGGACAAAGGGAGGGTAGTTCCTATTTGATCATGTTCTTTTGTTGTCCATCTATGTCCTGCCCTCTATTACGTTAAATACCTCCGTCTATACTTAAGATCTTTTAATGATAAATTCATTTTTTGTTAGTTCCACCAATCTGCCCCTAAACGATTTGGAGATCCCTTGGCTCAGGTATGCACCACCCCAATTTCAGTAAAAAAAAAATCTGAAACCATTTAGGTCTTGTAGCCTTACAAATGAAACTTTGAGGACGGACGCTGGACAACGCTTGATGTCATAAGCACACCATACAAAGATCAAGGTCATAGTTAGAAGCCCTATGTCAAATGTCATATAGTATTTTATATGAGGCTGTCATGTCTAGACAACCTTCTGGGTAACATTCACAGAATCCTATCTGAAAAACCAAGGTTGTGGCAAGAGGTCAAATGTCAAGTAACAGTTGTCTGATCGCCTCAGGATTTTGTCATGACACGTCCTAGGTATGCTTATAACAAAAGTCGAACAAATATTCAAAAGCCATACAGGTCAAGATAAAGGCAACAGAGCAACAATTGCATCCAGGTACTTGATTTTAATCTTATAATATGTTTAAATTATTGAAAAACTCATTAACTTTGGTGTAGTGTGTTTCTCACCTGAACCAAGCACCGGCAGGGCAATCGAGCGCAGTTTCATCTCATTTGCTTTGTTTAAAATGTTCTGTACACATTTCTTGACTCCATCTTTACAATCCGCAAGCTTCACGCCTACCATCATACTAGGACAAATAGTTACGAGAAGCATATCAGTGTCGAAACCGAGGATTGGTATACAGAACACTTCTCCTTCCTTGAATTGTTTCCTATGCTTTTGTTTTATTTCCACGATTTTCCTGCTGAAATCTTGACCAGAAAGTTCTCCTTTCTGGATCCGAGCAGCTATTTTGCTTTTGCATTGCAGGAATTTATCTTGACCACATACAACAGCGTCGACTCTAGTTGCCAAAATGTCGCACGTGTATACATGCACTCTGGCTTGAGGGGATAATACGAACGTTGTTTTATCAATACCACCTCTGTTGTTGAACTCCTTGAAAGGGTGCAAAGGACATTCTTTTGGTCGTGCTCCTTGTTTATCAAAGTAGGGTACATTTTGAATCTGCTGACCAGCATGTCCGGGTGGATCCAAGTTTGATCCTTCCAGTGAGTGATCAAATGCTTTTTGAATTTCAAGCAAGATCGTAGCATCCTTGTCCACAAAGTGAATTTCTTTCAAAAAGTGTCGCGGTTGCTGCTTCAACTTGGACCAGGCTCTTTTGACTCCTAAGCAATATTGCTGAACACACAATGCAGATGGCATTGAAAATATTCCTGAAAATTAACACACAATATAAATTATGATAATATTTTTATATGTGATATGATTGTTTTCATTAAATTAAATATAGTCTAGGCTTACCATCCTTTTGTTTGCCCTTTTAACAAATTTTTGTTTAGATCATTGACTTATAGCGCGAATGTTTAAAAACACCAAATTGTTCTGCTACAGTTTGACCAAGCACAATGCAAATCTATACAAAGCAATATGTCAAAGGATACATGGCCGTTTATAGTATAAAAATGTAATGGTTGTAATACCACAAGTGAAAAATAAAATATGTATACAGATTATATAACCATTGTCCGACTATTACTTTGGATTTAAGTAATATTAATCGAGTAATTGCAATGGAACCTTTGAAATAATACACTGGTGTAGCGCTGATACTGTTGAATTGCATTGTGTTCATTGTGTTCAGACTTCTAAACATTATCTCCGTTTGCCAAGTCTTAACAAGAGTACCGCAGGGCGGAACAATATAGGCCCGTCAAATGCCATATAGTGTTATATATTATCTTGCATTAAAATAAGATTTGCATCACCTTAAGAGTGGCTAGCTAACATTCTATAAATCTTACCTTTCACTATAAAGTCAATGTTTGATTTAACAGTTTGAGGAAAACAAGTAATCAAAAGATTACTCAACTCAACAAAGCCTACCAAGAAATAGATAGAAACCTGTAGAAGGAAATCTCCGGACAAGATTCAAGTACTAGAAATAAACAAAGGGCAATAACATCTGCAAAAAAGTTGAATCAAATTTTTTTTCGAAGAAACATAACTAAATATCATGACTATAACGATTTCCAAGTTTCAAAGAAATCGGTCGAAAAATGTAGGAGGAGATCGCCGGATAAAAATCAAATACTGAAATAAACAAAGGGCAATAACTTTTCCAAAAATAATCGAATCAAAATTCTTTTTGTGCAAACACAACAACATATCATGATTATAAAGCCTACCAAGTTTCAAAGAAATCGGTCGAAAAAATTAGAAGGAGATCGTCGGACAAAAATCAGAAACTGCAATAAACAAAGTGCAATTACTTTTGCAAAAATTGTCAAATCAAAATTCTTTTCAGGGAAACACAACCTCATATCATGAGTATAATGTATACAAAGTATCGAAGATATCGGTCGAAAAATGTAGAAGATGGCCGGACAAAAATCAAAAACTGAAATAAACAAAGTGCAATAACTTTTGCAAAAATTGTCAAATAGAAATTCTCTTCAGGGCATCACAACAACATATCATGGTTATAAAGCCTACCAAGTTTCGAAGAAATCGATCATAAAATGTAGAAGAAGATCTCTGGACAAAAAATTCAAATACTGAAATAAACAAAGGAAAATAACCTTTGCAAAAATAGTCGAATCGAAATTCTTTTTAGGGAAACACAACTTCATATCATGATGATAATGTATACCAAGTTTCAAAGAGATCGGTCGAAAAATGTAGGAGAGGATTACCGGACAAACCAAAGTTTACGCCGGACGGATGGACAAAACCATACTTTAATTAATACTCCCGTCAAATTTGACGGGCGTATAAAAAGGGAAAACGTTGTATTTTGTGCCCTGTCAAATGATGGTGAAAAGAGTCTTTGATTTTTTTTTCCCACGATAAAAGCTTATGACCAATGTTCAACAGTGTTCACGTTTTGCACACATTATTTTTCTTTTTGTTACAACTGTCGTGGATTGTATTGTTTAAATGGAAAGCGGGGATTTACAGAAATGGTATTTGAAACTACACGACTAGTAGGCACAAGACAAATAGACAAGACTAAGAAGACAAAGGTGGCAATTCACATCCAGAAGAAACGTGTGCTGCAGGTGGCTACTTTAAGTGTGTCTTTAAATAAAATTATGACCAAAAAATTCTACATGTCAACCTCAAATAAACTTCCTTGGCAGATATAAATTTCATCCCTTTTAACCCATTTTTTAATTGTTTTTTCACTCATTTATCCCTGAAGACGTATTTGAACTCTTTCAATTCTTTAAAGGTTGGAATAGTTCTTTATGAAATTTCAGGCGTTCTCATGTTTTACAAACAATTTGTTGATGGATTATAATTTATTTTTAAGACGTTTTCAATAATAAATCAAACGGTATTCTAAATAATTAACTATATTTCCAAACTATGCAGGAAATACATTTTAAGTGAGGAAATATACAATATATTATTCTTTATTAAATCAATTATTATGATAATTAACTCACATGGTTTAACTTATTTCCATAGCTTAATTATATATCGTTATATAATATCTGAATCGGAGTCCTTAGAAAAGCCCGCTCCTTCGCTTCCCTCAAAGCATCTTTTATTTATGAAAATCAAACTAGGCTTGTAAACAAACTTTTAGAAAAAAATAGCTAGTTACTTTAAAAAAATGTCTTTTCTGGTTTGGGTATGGCTAATGAATTAATGAATACTTATTCTCCAAACGGGAGTAAGAGCTGAAAAAAGTATTCCTACCTGCACTGATAGCTGGTATCGCCACTGATTCCAACTGTAGTTCTTCAGCTTTCAGGATACAAGAGGTTATGGCATCCTGTAGCTGCTGTTCGCATGAAGACTGATTTTTCCCATCCCAGCGTGGCCCCACAGTGTGAATGATGTACTTGTAATGTTTTAGATTGCCTGCTGAAGTATGACATGAGGTGCCGACCGGAACTTTTCCATTCCTTTTGACGTATTCGGTCGATTCCCGTTGAATGTCCGCAGCTTCCGATATTGCACAAGCAACACCTCCACCGTGATTTAATTTTTTATTTGCAGCGTTCACGATACCGTCAACTCTAAGGTACAGAATGTTTCCCTCATACGCCAGGACTTTCATTTTGTCGCCTAAATGGTATTCCTTGGCACTCGGTGGCGGCGGCAATATTGGCAGTGGGTCGGGTTTGCGGGATGCTAAAAATGATGGAACGTCGAATCGCCTGTTTCGTCTGCTATTTGTCATTCCTATTGATTCCAATACCTGATATTTCATGGCTTGCACCTTGTTCCTATCTAGTCCAATGAGATTGATGACTTTCATTTCCTGAGTTGACGTCGTGTCTTCCTGGGGTATGCTGACGTGAACATCACACTGGCTGTCTAAGATGCTAATCAGGATTCTTTTCACCTCTTCCACTTTAAAATGTCGGCCCTCTACATCGATTTGGTCACACGTAATATCAGTTTTCATTTTTGCAAGTTTCCTTTGGAACTCCACGCCTAATTCTACTCTTCCATCGAAGCGCATCGTTCTGTCCACTTCCGAGTATTTCATACTGTTCATGCAGTCCTTGTATCGGTTGTAACTTGGATCACATTGGAAGAAAAATGAGAAAGCGTTGTAAACGTCTTTGGTGATTCCATCAACGGAGAGATCGTTTGAAGAAGCGTTTTTTCTGACAGAGTTTCTCGGGTGTCCTCTAAGCTTTGAGACGATGAATTCGTTCGCAGCCTCGATCTGGGGTAAATTTCCAACTAACTGACATATTCCCGAACTATCAGCATCCACAGTGACTCCACTATTCTCTCGTATTTCACGCTTGTCGCTTGAAAATTGTGGGTCTATAGATGCACGAACGTTGAACAATATCTGCAAAAATCAATACTCAATTTAAATTTAAATTAAATTAAGTTGAGTAATCAAGATGAAAATATTGACTTAAATATTTGTTTATGATAACATTTCTTCTGTGAAAAAACCCCAATGTTAACCTGTTACTATACTTTGGGCATTCCAAGCTACATGTATAATGTAAATATTGTTCTTTGACAATAAAATTCAAATTACTAATGGTTTTGTCATCGCAACATTTTTTAAACCAATATAGGTTTGAAGTAAGAAGAAAGTTTATGAAAGGAGATATTTTGTCTGCAGGATTCATCAAATGTTCTTATATGATTTGCTCATATATGCACAAACACAAGGTACAGACGACAGAATGACTGATGATGCAGAGCTTCTTGTAACATAATTTGTCCAGATAACAAAATAAATCATCCCTTGCGTTGGAGGTTAATCTGTTACACCCTCAAGGAAGGGGAAGGTTCCATTTAGTTACACATATTTATTTATAAAATTGTTTACATCATAGTAACGATATAGACAATAAAATTAACATTTAATCATTGTGAATTGAATCTACAGGTAGTACCTGTATCTCCAATGTTGTAGCCTTGAAGTCAACACTTTGTCGCCTCAGAACTTTCTCAGCATCTGTAATACATGGATGTTAAATATATAACATATGAATTACAAATTAACACCAACTATTGTATAAACAACATAATATAGATAACAACATAACACGGTGTCAAATAATACATAAAATAACATAGGACAGTATCAAAATACTACATGAACACTACAATGTATAACACATCAAAATGGGAAACAAAATCAGATACACCTGTTAAGTATTTAGTCATAACTCATTTGGTTTCTTCAAAAAAACGTATTTACGCCGACACTCGGTCATTATCATACCCAAGGACATGCTATTTTCAGTAATGGTTCAAATGTTGAATAGTCAAAAGGACCAATTGTAGTGCTTGAGGAAATATGATAGAGAAAGCTAGTGAACTGTTTGTCAAAATATGCTTTTAAGAGTATTGCATCTATGTGCGTTTAGTAATTTTACGATATTTTCTTGCTTTTTAACGATAACTTACACAACTAAACGATTTTTTTTATCTTAACTGATATTAGAAGGCTTTCGTTATTAGTAGTGCTAGTAGTTGGACAACTACATGTAGGTAATAAGAAAGAATAACTTTGACTATTGCTCTTATAATAATTATAGATGTACAGATATACATTTAAATCTAGATTGATCTAGCTCATCCTTAGTACATGTTCTTACAATTCGGCAAATATCTAATGATCTCGAGTGATCTTGTCATTATAATGCCATGCAAAAATGTTTCAATGTTAATTGACAGCAACACATTAGGCATAAGACAATTGAAGTAAGGAGAGATCACGAAAAAAAGATAATAAAAGACGAAGATGAATATGGTGAGCCAATCAACTCTGATTTACACAAAGAGCAAAAATTGAGGTATATGAATTTGCAGGTACCCAAATTTATACTACTGAGGAATACAAAAGTCCAGGTTCTTTTCTTAACTTTGCGCCCTAGAATGTCAGAAAAATATATACCTGATGTACTTGCACAGGTGACAAGCGCCTCACAGACGTTGTATCTATACGGCCATGCTATGCCGACTGGTGTGACTCCAACATCGCTTTCTAGCCAGTTCCACACAACTGTTCTGTCCAATGTTGTGTGTGCGCCTCGCACGATGACACAACACCCTACATCTGAAGTCACGTTCACATAATGTAGGGCTGCTGTTTCGCTGAAAATATTTCCACAAAATTGAAGATTTCAATTGAAGATTTTTGTTTATTTAACATTCGCTTTGTTCAATATATAGGAAACCAAGAAATACGTTAGAACGCTCTAAAAGGAAAAAAAGGAAATACAGATGTACGCTGTATATCTATATATACTTAAACAAAAATTATGGAACAATACCTAAGAAATTACGAAGGATCCGATGTTGTTATTTTTTTTTCTGAGTACGTTAATAACAATTAAACAATACAAAAAATTGTTTAGGACATTAATTGAGGAACTGAATTATAGTTAAATGATATTATGCGTTGTGAGTATATCCAACACAGTAAGACGACACATATCATCAGAATAGGATGAAATTACTGCTGTACGTGACTAACAATATAGTTAGGGTTAATGACGAAACAGCTGTGTCGGTAAAACCATAAATATCGTTTCAAATACCTTCTGTTGCCTTTGAGGGTTGCATCCAAATCTTCATTGGGCTCGTCTACAAAATAGGGAACAAAGGCAACATCTGATGAAAAATTCAAAATATATTTGTACACATGTCACACAAATTTTACAGATTTCACCAACTGTTCAAATTTCGTTCCAGTATCAATAATCAACCGTATTTTAATAGGAACGAGAACAGCAACATCAGGATAACTAATAAGGCAGTGGGCTTTTTAACACAACTCCCTGATAGGTTCCTCATAAACCAATTTGTGACAAAATTGTTTTGTAAACGACAATGTCATTTTCCAGATTTTGAAAAAAATGCATCACTTACAGTCCGGAAACAAGTGTTGAATAATGTTTTGACTATTTTGACTCAAAATCAATTGGTCCAAAAATGATTTGGGCACACCAGGATACTGTGACCTTGACCTTGACCTATGGCGTTTTAACTCCATAATTGATTTGGTGCCATTTTTCATTTCTGTACGAATAAATTTTCGACAAATTCACAACACCATTCAACAATTCTCAACAAATTTGCTTGAAGTTTCAATTCTTTCAGTTTGCAATCTTTACACTAAAACAAACGTATATCAGACTGCTTTCACAGGGAAAGCGCAAGAAACCTATTAACGAAAATAAATCTCACCGCCAGATCTCTGGGAACTAGCTTCGGTTCTTCTTCTTTGTGATGATTCAGGCTCCAGATCATCGGTAGCATAGTAATATTTGTCATGGCTTGAAGCTAGTTTAGGTAGTGCATCACTCAGGATAGCATCAATTTTTCTCACCAGAATCATCTGATCAGCCGCACTGCATGCGACTCTAAAGTGGACTTTATGTTGGTGTCTATCTTGTTTTCCTATAACATCAAAACCCGACGATAAATAAGAGTGATTTTACTAGTTTTTCTATCTTTCAACCCATCTTACAGCCCGTTTCATGTGATGTGACGTCACAATTCCTCAACACTGACGCGTCGTCACGAATTCGGAAAAGTCCGATGCCCTCTACAATATATTGACCGTACAAGTGAGAAAAATGAAATTATTTTCTCTTTGCAAACTATGTTTGTAAATATAGGATATGGGTTATCTCGTGGACATATGCGTTTTCTTCAAAAACGCTCATGGGAAAAGCTGATATTTTCAAAATGGTAGCCAGCACACATTTTCATGGTTTCTGAGCTTATTCTTGCAAAGCCTCGGGTTTAACATTATTTGAAAACCCCTCGGTTGGAATTTCCCTGTGCTGCACCCCTTGGCATGAAAGGGTCTTATAATCTCACATCCTTGTTGAGGATTTCAAAGCTACTGCATACCACAGAAACAATCAACTACTTTGACGAAATGGCCATATCCTAGGGCGCACAAATGTGTACTTTAATGTACCAACTTGTACAATTTTCAATATTATTTTCTTCTTTGTATTTCCAGTGTTTTTAATTTTATGCATTGTGTCATTGAGGCACTTATAACTGATAACGTCAGGTGATTGAGTCTTAAATGAGTGTGGTTGGTCACAGAATAGTGCCTCCCTGGTAATATGTAACTTGTTTCTGGAATGTCCTTCTATTCATTTTCCATTGAAACTAAGTCTAGCGGCATAAAAAGAGGCGAAGTTCATGGAGTATATACATGTGTTTAAATTATAAGAATGATAAGATATTCCAAGCAAGAGAGCAGAAAGAAAGAAGCGGTTGTAAAATTGACTTGCCATCAGATTGTTTTGTACATGGTTCATGAATTTACAATTAAAGAAATATGTGATATTGTAGTATAATTTTGTCTTACTGATCGTGGCAAGCCGACTCTTTGGTTCCGGGTCAACGGAGGATCCATCAACTGGAAGTTTTAATTTTATACCATGATTTTATGAATTGAAATGAATGTCAAACCTGTTTTGGTCACAATCTAGCTTTTCACAATTAGCAAAAGAAATTTTACAAAGTTTAGCTTTTTTGTATACATGAAGTTGAAGAAAAATGGTAATTTTCTGTGGAGAAAACTAAAGAAAATCGATAATTATATCGTATGTGAGAATCCTGCAATCTGATTAGTTGAGATTAATTCAATCACGTTTACATTAAATACCGAGTCAATAAAGATGCTAATAGGTAAAAATGAAATATTGACCAATATTGACATAACTTAAATTTGGACAGAAATGTGAAAACAAGGGTTCAGGTGCATTATCCGTAATCTTTCTACAACACCTTATTTTGTCTTTGTTTAAGTAGATGTACATGTAGGATGCAAAAAAACGGAACCAGAGGAAAGTCATTCATTGTGAAAACATTAGACATTGTCATCATCTCATGAATATCAAATCACACATGAATCATATTAAGATGTACATTTTCTTTAAGAAATTTACCTCAAAGGTTTGATAAATTCACTTGTATATATTGATATATGTAAACTGAATTAAGCGATTGCCAATTAATATATTATCTTTGCAAAGTTCTGCATGAAAATATCAAACCTACAGTATGTTTCAGTAAAATGATCTTCGTTTTTTACATAGTGGTAACGCAAAGTCATTTACCTCATGACCGCATCGGTTGTCACGGAGTCAACAAATCATGTAGATTTTAAAATATCCATGGTTAGTCATTCACAACCCGTTAAACCAGGGCCCGTATTCATGAAACGGTTCTCATGCTCAATATCAGATTTAGTGCCCAAGCTCCTTTTTGGTAAATTTAATATAAAAATAACATTTTGTCAATGTTATGAAAAATAGTTTTGTAGAGACTTCTAGCTGAATTATGTTTTCAATGTCTACACTTAACTTTCATTACCAAATTACGTGATTTAGGCGAGTTAGAAAAATGTTGGCTTAAGCACAGAATTCTTACTTGAGCATGAACACGTTTTCGTAAGTATGGGCACAGGAGCCTGGAATTCCGTCAAAAATTAATAATAACAGTAATACACAAAAAAAAAGATTTTTTCCCTGTTAAACAGCACGAATAATCAAAGAAACTATCCATACCTGCATCTGAATTTTCTTCCATGAATTTCTGAAACAACGAAGTAATATAATTGTATTTGTTATTTATCTATTTATCTATATAAAGTTAATAACTGAAAAGATCGATATTATAAAACTAATTATAATGTGAGAAAGACAAAGAAAATTTCGGTGAAATTCTCCAGAAACCAATATAACCTACTTTGAAGAAAATGATTAAACTCCAGTTATTTTCCGTACCAAATGATTTTCATCAAAACAATTAAATATAAGAATCAGAAGGAATTATACGAAATCATAATTTGCTTTGCTCGTACTGTTTCAGTCGTAACATCTTCTTAGGGTAGTATAGATCTACCGCTAAGCTGATATGATGTTACTGCTAAGTGGAGTATCTTGTAGCTAAATTGGCACTATCTTACCGCAAGAATTAGTGCAACGTACTGCTATGTTATAATTATCAATACGATTATTTTCCTGCATAATGGACAGTATCTTACAACTAACAAGAGTACCGCGGGGCAGAACAATATACGCCCGTCGAATGCCATATTGTGTTATATACCTTCTTACACTGAAATAAGATCTGCATCATTCTAAGAGTGGTTAGCTGACATGCTATAAAATATGTAGGAGAAAATCTCCGGACAAAAAATCAAATACTGAAATAAACAATGGGCAAGAACTATTGCAAAAATTGTTGAATCAAAATTCTTTTCAAGGAAACACAACAACATATCATGATTATTAAGCCTAATAAGTTTCAAAGAAATCTGTCAAAAAATGTAGGATAAGATCCCCGGACAAAAAATAAAATGCTAAAATGATGGTATCTTACTTTAAAAGTTGATTTGTCGGTAGGATAGATGACTATTCTGACTTTCTTCAGATAACTTAGTTTAGAATTCTTCATGAAACACCAAATTCTCTTCAGCATCTCCTCTGCAACCACAGAGGCAGGATAGCCCAAGTTACCCGTCCCAACGGCAGGAAACGATATTGACGACATGCGTAATTCATCTGCTTTTTCAAGGCATTCTGTCACAAACTTCCCTAGGATCTGAAAAAAATACACAACAAACATCAAGCTACAATGTTTTTGCAGCTTAGTTTGTGTCCACCGGTGTTTGGTAACGTTTGTGTCTGCCAGTATTGGATTGGGTTACTTTTGTGTCTGCCAGTTTTGGATTGGGTTACTTGTGTGTCTGCCAGTATTGAATTGGGTTACTTGTGTGTCTGCCAGTATTGGATTGGGCTACTTTTGTGTCTGCCAGTATTGGATTGGGTTACTTTTGTGTCTGCCAGTATTGGATTGGGTTACTTTTGTGTCTGCCAGTATTGGATTGGGTTACTTTTGTGTCTGCCAGTATTGGATTGGGTTACTTTTGTGTCTGCCAGTATTGGATTGGGTTACTTTTGTGTCTGCCAGTATTGGATTGGGTTACTTTTGTGTCTGCCAGTATTGGATTGGGTTACTTTTGTGTCTGCCAGTATTGGATTGGGTTACTTTTGTGTCTGCCAGTATTGGATTGGGTTACTTTTGTGTCTGCCAGTATTGGATTGGGTTACTTTTGTGTCTGCCAGTATTGGATTGGGTTACTTTTGTGTCTGCCAGTATTGGATTGGGTTACTTTTGTGTCTGCCAGTATTGGATTGGGTTACTTTTGTGTCTGCCAGTATTGGATTGGGTTACTTTTGTGTCTGCCAGTATTGGATTGGGTTACTTTTGTGTCTGCCAGTATTGGATTGGGTTACTTTTGTGTCTGCCAGTATTGGATTGGGTTACTTTTGTGTCTGCCAGTATTGGATTGGGTTACTTTTGTGTCTGCCAGTATTGGATTGGGTTACTTTTGTGTCTGCCAGTATTGGATTGGGTTACTTTTGTGTCTGCCAGTATTGGATTGGGTTACTTTTGTGTCTGCCAGTATTGGATTGGGTTACTTTTGTGTCTGCCAGTATTGGATTGGGTTACTTTTGTGTCTGCCAGTATTGGATTGGGTTACTTTTGTGTCTGCCAGTATTGGATTGGGTTACTTTTGTGTCTGCCAGTATTGGATTGGGTTACTTTTGTGTCTGCCAGTATTGGATTGGGTTACTTTTGTGTCTGCCAGTATTGGATTGGGTTACTTTTGTGTCTGCCAGTATTGGATTGGGTTACTTTTGTGTCTGCCAGTATTGGATTGGGTTACTTTTGTGTCTGCCAGTATTGGATTGGGTTACTTTTGTGTCTGCCAGTATTGGATTGGGTTACTTTTGTGTCTGCCAGTATTGGATTGGGTTACTTTTGTGTCTGCCAGTATTGGATTGGGTTACTTTTGTGTCTGCCAGTATTGGATTGGGTTACTTTTGTGTCTGCCAGTATTGGATTGGGTTACTTTTGTGTCTGCCAGTATTGGATTGGGTTACTTTTGTGTCTGCCAGTATTGGATTGGGTTACTTTTGTGTCTGCCAGTATTGGATTGGGTTACTTTTGTGTCTGCCAGTATTGGATTGGGTTACTTTTGTGTCTGCCAGTATTGGATTGGGTTACTTTTGTGTCTGCCAGTATTGGATTGGGTTACTTTTGTGTCTGCCAGTATTGGATTGGGTTACTTTTGTGTCTGCCAGTATTGGATTGGGTTACTTTTGTGTCTGCCAGTATTGGATTGGGTTACTTTTGTGTCTGCCAGTATTGGATTGGGTTACTTTTGTGTCTGCCAGTATTGGATTGGGTTACTTTTGTGTCTGCCAGTATTGGATTGGGTTACTTTTGTGTCTGCCAGTATTGGATTGGGTTACTTTTGTGTCTGCCAGTATTGGATTGGGTTACTTTTGTGTCTGCCAGTATTGGATTGGGTTACTTTTGTGTCTGCCAGTATTGGATTGGGTTACTTTTGTGTCTGCCAGTATTGGATTGGGTTACTTTTGTGTCTGCCAGTATTGGATTGGGTTACTTTTGTGTCTGCCAGTATTGGATTGGGTTACTTTTGTGTCTGCCAGTATTGGATTGGGTTACTTTTGTGTCTGCCAGTATTGGATTGGGTTACTTTTGTGTCTGCCAGTATTGGATTGGGTTACTTTTGTGTCTGCCAGTATTGGATTGGGTTACTTTTGTGTCTGCCAGTATTGGATTGGGTTACTTTTGTGTCTGCCAGTATTGGATTGGGTTACTTTTGTGTCTGCCAGTATTGGATTGGGTTACTTTTGTGTCTGCCAGTATTGGATTGGGTTACTTTTGTGTCTGCCAGTATTGGATTGGGTTACTTTTGTGTCTGCCAGTATTGGATTGGGTTACTTTTGTGTCTGCCAGTATTGGATTGGGTTACTTTTGTGTCTGCCAGTATTGGATTGGGTTACTTTTGTGTCTGCCAGTATTGGATTGGGTTACTTTTGTGTCTGCCAGTATTGGATTGGGTTACTTTTGTGTCTGCCAGTATTGGATTGGGTTACTTTTGTGTCTGCCAGTATTGGATTGGGTTACTTTTGTGTCTGCCAGTATTGGATTGGGTTACTTTTGTGTCTGCCAGTATTGGATTGGGTTACTTTTGTGTCTGCCAGTATTGGATTGGGTTACTTTTGTGTCTGCCAGTATTGGATTGGGTTACTTTTGTGTCTGCCAGTATTGGATTGGGTTACTTTTGTGTCTGCCAGTATTGGATTGGGTTACTTTTGTGTCTGCCAGTATTGGATTGGGTTACTTTTGTGTCTGCCAGTATTGGATTGGGTTACTTTTGTGTCTGCCAGTATTGGATTGGGTTACTTTTGTGTCTGCCAGTATTGGATTGGGTTACTTTTGTGTCTGCCAGTATTGGATTGGGTTACTTTTGTGTCTGCCAGTATTGGATTGGGTTACTTTTGTGTCTGCCAGTATTGGATTGGGTTACTTTTGTGTCTGCCAGTATTGGATTGGGTTACTTTTGTGTCTGCCAGTATTGGATTGGGTTACTTTTGTGTCTGCCAGTATTGGATTGGGTTACTTTTGTGTCTGCCAGTATTGGATTGGGTTACTTTTGTGTCTGCCAGTATTGGATTGGGTTACTTTTGTGTCTGCCAGTATTGGATTGGGTTACTTTTGTGTCTGCCAGTATTGGATTGGGTTACTTTTGTGTCTGCCAGTATTGGATTGGGTTACTTTTGTGTCTGCCAGTATTGGATTGGGTTACTTTTGTGTCTGCCAGTATTGGATTGGGTTACTTTTGTGTCTGCCAGTATTGGATTGGGTTACTTTTGTGTCTGCCAGTATTGGATTGGGTTACTTTTGTGTCTGCCAGTATTGGATTGGGTTACTTTTGTGTCTGCCAGTATTGGATTGGGTTACTTTTGTGTCTGCCAGTATTGGATTGGGTTACTTTTGTGTCTGCCAGTATTGGATTGGGTTACTTTTGTGTCTGCCAGTATTGGATTGGGTTACTTTTGTGTCTGCCAGTATTGGATTGGGTTACTTTTGTGTCTGCCAGTATTGGATTGGGTTACTTTTGTGTCTGCCAGTATTGGATTGGGTTACTTTTGTGTCTGCCAGTATTGGATTGGGTTACTTTTGTGTCTGCCAGTATTGGATTGGGTTACTTTTGTGTCTGCCAGTATTGGATTGGGTTACTTTTGTGTCTGCCAGTATTGGATTGGGTTACTTTTGTGTCTGCCAGTATTGGATTGGGTTACTTTTGTGTCTGCCAGTATTGGATTGGGTTACTTTTGTGTCTGCCAGTATTGGATTGGGTTACTTTTGTGTCTGCCAGTATTGGATTGGGTTACTTTTGTGTCTGCCAGTATTGGATTGGGTTACTTTTGTGTCTGCCAGTATTGGATTGGGTTACTTTTGTGTCTGCCAGTATTGGATTGGGTTACTTTTGTGTCTGCCAGTATTGGATTGGGTTACTTTTGTGTCTGCCAGTATTGGATTGGGTTACTTTTGTGTCTGCCAGTATTGGATTGGGTTACTTTTGTGTCTGCCAGTATTGGATTGGGTTACTTTTGTGTCTGACAGTTTTGGTTTGGGTTACTGGGTTACTTTTAGTGTCTGCCAGTATTGGATTGGGTTACTTTTGTGTCTGCCAGTATTGGATTGGGTTACTTTCGTGTCTGACAGTTTTGGTTTGGGTTACTGGGTTACTTTTTGTGTCTGCCAGTATTGGATTGGGCTACTTTTGTGACTGCCAGTATTGTATTGGGTTACTATTGTGTCTGCCAGTATTGGATTGGGTCACTTTTGTGTCTGACAGTTTTGGATTGGGTTACTTTTGTGTCTGACAGTATTGGATTGGGTTACTTTTGTGTCTGACAGTATTGGATTGGGTTACTTTTGTGTCTGACAGTATTGGATTGGGTTACTTTTGTGTCTGACAGTATTGGATTTGGTTACTTTTGTGTCTGCCAGTATTGGATTGGGTTATTTTTGTGTCTGCCAGTATTGGATTGGGTTACTTTAAATCAACAGTGTTTGATTACTTTTGTGTCTGCCAGTATTGGATTGGGTTACTTTAAATCAACAGTGTTTGATTACTTTTGTGTCTGCCAGTATTGGATTGGGTTACTTATGTGTCTGACAGTTTTGGATTGGGTTACTGGGTTACTTTTTGTGTCTGCCAGTATTGGATTGTGTTACTTTTGTGTCTGCCAGTATTGGATTGGGTTATTTTTGTGTCTGCCAGTATCGGATTGGGTTACTTGTGTGTCTGCCAGTATTGGATTGGGCTACTTTTGTGACTGCCAGTATTGTATTGGGTTACTATTGTGTCTGCCAGTATTGGATTGGGTTACTTTTAATCAACAGTGTTTGATTACTTTTGTGTCTGCCAGTATTGGATTGGGTTATTTTTGTGTCTGCCAGTATTGGATTGGGTTACTTTAAATCAACAGTGTTTGATTACTTTTGTGTCTGCCAGTATTGGATTGGGTTATTTTTGTGTCTGCCAGTATTGGATTGGGTTACTTTAAATCAACAGTGTTTGATTACTTTTGTGTCTGCCAGTTTTGGATTGGGTTACTTTTGTGTCTGCCAGTTTTGGATTGTGTTACTGGGTTACTTTTGTGTCTGCCAGTATTGGATTGGGTTTCTTTTGTGTCTGCCATTATTGGATTGGGTTTCTTTTGTGTCTGACAGTTTTGGATTGGGTTACTTTTGTGTCTGACAGTATTGGATTGGGTTACTTTTGTGTCTGACAGTATTGGATTGGGTTACTTTTGTGTCTGACAGTTTTGGATTGGGTTACTGGGTTACTTTTTGTGTCTGCCAGTATTGGATTGTGTTACTTTTGTGTCTGCCAGTATTGGATTGGGTTTCTTTTGTGTCTGACAGTTTTGGATTGGGGAATATTAACAAGAGGCTCACCTGGATATCTAAGCAACCATGGCAAAATATTATCCAAATAAGATCCAAGGGATCCAATGGGCCAGACCTAAAGGCAAATCTTTGTAGCATATCTGTATAAGATTGTTCATGCCCAGCAAGTTTATGTATGGTTATGGGTTATGGATCTCAACTGTTTCCAATCTGTGACTTAGAAAGTAGGTCACTAGGGTTGCGGCCAGATGGTCTGACCCCAGTATCAATTCAAAGTTATCACCGAGGGGGTTAAGTCAAAAGGTGGGGCAGACCCCAGGGCCATCCTGGAAGCATACATGTATGTACATTTGTCTCTTTATACTCAGCAATTGTATATTTGGTTAAAGGGTGGGGATCTCAACTGTTTTCAAGCTGTGACTCAGAAACTAGGTCCCTCCTGATTTGGCCAGACCTCAGGGTCTACTCTAACATCATCACTGCATTCGTCTCTTTATGTCCAACATTTGTATATATAGTTTTGGGGTGGGGATTTCAACTGTTTCAAGGTTATGACCAAGGGGTTAAGTGTCCAAGGGTGGGACAGATCCTGGGCCATCCTAGAAGCATATGTGCATTTGTCTCAGCAATTGTATATTTGGTTATAGGGTTGAGATCTCAAAATTTTCAAGCTGTGACTCAGAAACTAGGTCCCTAGGGTCATGGCAAGACCCCGGGGTCAATTTTAATATCATGACTGCATTCGTCTCTTTATGCCCAACATTTGTATATACAGTTTTAGGGTGGGGATCTCAACCGTTTCAAAGTTATTACCCCGGGGTTAAGTCTCCATGGGTGGGGCAGATCCCGGGGCCATCCTGGAAGCATATGTGCATTCGTCTCAGCAATTGTATATAATGGTTATAGGGTGGGGATCTCAATGGTTTCCTAGCTATGAGTCAGGAACTAAGTCCCTAGGGGTTTGGCCAGACCCCAGGGTCTGTTCTAATATCATTATTGCATTCGTCTCTTTATGCCCAGCATTTGTATGCATAGTTTTGGGTGGGGATCTCAACCGTTTCAAATTTATGACCCAAGGACTATGTCTCCAAGGGAGGGGCCAGACTCCAGAACCATCCTGGAAGCATATGTGCATTCTTCTCTTTATACTCAGCAATTGTATATATGGTTATAGGGTGGGGATCTCAACACTTTCTAAGTAATAAACTTTTTTCGGCTCCACCCCTTAGCCAAGGGGGTCAGATCCACCATTTGTACAATTTTGTATCCCTGTCTCCCATGAATGCTTCTGACCAATTATGATTGATATCCAGTGCATAGTTCTATATATTATTAGTCTTTTATAGCAATATAGCCAAATTGCCCACTTTTGGACCCACCCCTCAGCCCCCTGGGGGTTCAGCCACACCATTTGTACAGTTTTGAATCCCCACCACCTAAGGATGCTTCCAGTTAAATTTAGCTAAAATTCTAATCAGTGGTTAAGAAGGAGAAGTCGTTTGAAGAAATTGTTGATGTACAAGAGGACGGACAGACGACGGACGGAAGATGGACGCCACGGTATGGCATAAGCTCACCTTGTTCCTTTGGACCTGGTGAGCTCAAAATAAAAATCTTTGAGTGAACAAATACCGGGATTCACTGTAGTCTGAGGCCTGTATATAAAAACCCTATATTGTAATGTTTAATATATCTAATAACATCTGCTGTTAAATAGAATTAAAACTAACCTCTTTTGCCTGTTTTTGATCGCGTTTGTTCCATGGCCATAAGTCAAAAGCACCATGGAATATGTGTTGGCAATCAAGCATGTGTCCGCCAGTTATAGCCAGTTGACCAAACCTCAGGCCTTTTGGATAACTTTTCTTACACTCCCGTTGTAATTGTGACCCTGCTCTACTGGCCAACGCTTTAGAAACAGCACCATGGGAAAGGTCTAAATCTTTTTGAGCAGTGTTCACAATGACATCAGTCTGGAAAAGAAAAGAAACTCATATTTTTTTTACAACAATTATATAACATGTTATATGAACTTATATTAATCACTCTTGTTGGCCCGGATGTTAGTGCGCACGGGTCTTAATGTGGGAGGAAACTGGAGTACCCGGAGAAAACCCACATGGTTCGACAAGTGACCCTATACCCTTTCACGTCCGATCGAGGAATCAAACCACCGCCGCCTTGTTGAAAGGCAAGTGCTCTATTCACTGCATCAACCAACCACAACTAAATTTATATTGATGTTATGGTTGAACAAATTCATTTACTGTCGACTGACAGTGTATGCCAAACTTAGTGTAATGAGAAACATTTCACTTAATACTAAATATGGTGTTTTTTTAACAGAATTTTTGCTGGGCGTTTTTAAAACTTTATCAAATTTTATTGACAAGATGTCGTAATCAATTGGATTGAATAACAGGCAAAGCCTATATAAATTCTCTCCGTCAAATGGCCAAAGTTGAATAAACAAGGAGACATAATATTTTACACATGTTGCAAATGAAAAAATTAACACAAAATAATTCATATTAACACAAGGCTAAGGGGAAGTAACTCATGAAGGAAACATCTCACACACCTCATACACACTTACACGCACATACAAGTAAATGTACAAATACATTTATTTCAGCATATATATACACTATCATAGACAGATATTGGCAGGCTTAGACCATTATGCATGTTTTGGATCAGAAATAATTGCAGTTACATGAACCTTGCCTCTACTGCATACATATGGAGGAGGTCATCCGAGATTTGTTATTGACGTTTACAATTACATTGATACTCAATGAGCATGAGTGGAATGAGTGGAAAATGTAATCGTTTTAAAAATGCACATCGCATTCAAAATTAGCTTATACTATCTCTTCTCTCAGAGGACGGATGATCATTTTAGATTTGAAACAAATTCAACACTTTGGGGCCAGGCAGAACTTGAGAAAAATATACAAAACACTCTTTCTTTGTCCCACTATTATACAGGCATACCTGTTCTTTTGTGATATCGCCTTTTATCACCAAAACTTGTGGACGATCTTGCACCATCCTCATTGGTAAACCTACACAAATAAATGCACAACAAATTCAAATTCTACACAAAATGAATATCTAAACTGAATTCCATTTCATTTTCTTTATCATTTTCAATAGAAGTAACATGAAACTTGATTATGTTAGCCTTATGTGGAAAAAACCACTTAGTGTTACATTTTCATAACTGAAAACAACTCACAACGATACTATCTTGCAGAAAATTATGCTTTACTAACAGTAAAACAAACACTTGACATATATTACACATACCCAAAGGCTCTTGAAAAACCGGAATGATCGTTGCACTGGCCGATTGGAATACCTCGTCAGTTGGAACAGCCAGTACAATGTCCATCGCACCAAGATCTGGTCCAGAAGGGCTCCAAAGCTCCTTTATGGCCTGTAATGTCACTTTGAGGAACTTTTGAAATGACCAATCACAGCAGTGACGTAGATCAATAGCAACTGAGTTATCTCCCTTTCTTGACAACTGTTCAAACAAAAGCTTGAAAGAGGCAGACAAGTCATGTTTTGCCTTCCCTTCGTCAGCATGTGGAACGAAAATGGTTGGTTTCCAGGTGGATTCTGAAATCATTGCAGTGTATACATCTTATCAATAATTATATTATCAACAAATATTTGTTAAATTTTATCCTCATCATTACCATAAAGCAAACAGGTCATATTAAAACTGACAATAAATGTTATAAAGCTTTCAAATGAGATTATATATTTTTTTTTAAATAAACATTTTAGTTTGTCCTTGCGTGGTAACGAATACGTGTCTCGCTGGGTATAAAAGGGCATTACCAGTCAAACCAGTTATCATTTGTTCAATTGTGCGCAAGGTGACGCTACTACATTGTATACTATGTATAATATAGTACACATTCACGATTTGTTTACTGACAGTTTGTATCAGATCAGTTGAATAAAATTGAAATGGAACATAATAAAGATCGCATTATCTAAGAAAAGTGGGCATAGTAGTACAATACGGCCAATTAAAATAAATAATGCACAATCTCTGCCCCTGCCCCCTCCAAACAAATTGGCCCTGAAAGAAGCAAACAAACATGTAAGACGAACGATAATGCCTACCTTTTAGATATCCGACTAGTTATAACCTCCGGTGTGAAAACAATATTAATTCACATCATTTAAATGAGAACGGTTCAATTATTAAATTTCACATTTTTGACTTCACACCTGGGATTGTCGCATTGTGCACGTGTTTTACTAGTAAAGCGTCTAAACGACGAAGACTAACGAGTTCATAATTAAGTTTTCGTGTGTTGGTGCAGTTCTATACACGTGAAAGACCGATGATATGTATGGGATTTTAGAAGTATTTTCAATAATGTACCTTTTATTTTGGATACACAATTTTCGAGAATCTGCCATAAGTAACAACCAGCATGGCAGTTTTTCAAAGTCTGTAGGTGAGTGCTTTTGATTTTTGATATTGGTTGCCAATCAGGGTGCAGGGTGCATTAAATCGCAAGACGGTCAGTTGTAGAATGATAACCAGTTTGACAGGTAATGCGCTTTTTATACCCAGCGAGACACATACTCGTTACCAAGCAAGGATAAAATAAAATGTCAGCACTTCCTTAGAAACGATAGTTGGAAGAGGTGGAAAAGATCTCAAAANAAAAAAAAAAAAAAAAAAAAAAAAAAAAAAAAAAAAAAAAATCTCAATTGGAAGCTTTTTAACTTGCACTGTCAGCTTTAATGTTCCTGCACTGATAGGTTTTACTTGTTGGGTGCGATGTTTTACAGTACTGACAGCTTATTTCTTTAATCAGTTCTATGCGGTATTTATCATGATTACTCTAAAATCAACATTAAAAAAAGCCGTTTTAAATGAATAAGATATTCTCAAGAAAACAATAACATATCATCATATAGTAGTGAAAATCTGCAAATACTTCAAATTATTTTCTACTCTATCAAATCTTGCAAATTAAGAAAAGAAATAAATTCACATTTTCATAATATTTGAGTGATATGATAGTTTTTAATAAAATCGAGAACTAAAAGAAGCATGGTTTTGAAAATGACTAACTGAGAAGCAAATGACTAATACCTGAACCATACCTGCAGTTTGTGATTGCCTCGGCATCATGTTTACAATAGTGTTCGCCTCCACACTGCTCACTGGGCCCATGGCAAGCCCTATCCTAGCCTGTCCACAAGTCCACCATTTTGTTGGAATGACAGTCTTTCTGTTGGTGAAATTGTCAAAGGTCAACTGTTCATCATCCGACTCATCAGTGTCTGCAAAGTGGGTGGCGATCACACATCTGTTCACGTTTTCGAGGTCCCTGACCTTGTCTATAAGAATGTCTGGGACAAATAATTCCACATTCGGATGCTGAAATGACTTGATGTCATCCACCATGGTCTGTATTTCGGTATGCGCTGCTTGTACGCACTCTTCCTCTCCGCTTATTTTGATGATAGTCTGGTCAGGGGCAATATTTTGGAATGACACAGTCACTTTCAAAGCATTTCTCAGTTGCAAAATGCTATCTCTCACATATTTGTCCAAGAATTTGATTCGGTCATATTCATCTAAATGGACATTTTTTGTAACAGCTTTCCCCTTGATTGATGCCGATTTCCTTCCACCCAATAATTCTTCGATAGCTCCTTGAACTTGTTCTAAAATGTCATCGGTGATAAAAACATTTATCATTCGTGTTGCCTCATCAGCCAACCAGTATAGTTTCCCTCCACACTGCCTTGCAATCACTTGAAGCTTTTTATGATGTTCTGTTCCCTGTCTCTTGAGGTCAATTCTCTTCACACTGGACTTGATCAAAATGGTCACCTCCTCAGCAATCTCCCGGTTATCAGCTAGTACAATCAGCTTGTGAGAATTCATATCTTCCCTCACCCTCCAGTGATTAGTGATGTCACTCAGCTTGTTATCATCTATGTATTTCTTTACATCGCCCCGTGACAACAGCTTGTACTCTCCATCTTCAAGAGTGGTTGTTGACTGTTGAGATGACCTTTCAAGGACATTCTCTATGTCCAGCTGGTTGTGCTTTTCAACGTTGACGTAACAGTGACCATCATCCTCATTTGTGAAGATGTCAAGGATACCAGCCTCCTCTAACCTGTCTTCATCTTCTGCGAGATGCCTGCACCATCGTGTCCACTGCTCAGACATTCGATTTACCCTTACCTCTGTCATGCATTTTTTTTTCACTAGCTGGTGATGGTCATCGAGACTTTGAATGTTGTACAATATGCTTCCGACATTTGCAGTTCCTAAAACCAGGAACGTTTCAGGAATCTCTGTGGGTATGACTCTGACATTTGCATAAGGTAATTTTTTGAAAGATTCAATAGATGCCTCCCTTGTTATGTTGTCCAGGTTGCACAAATATGCTGATATTGTGTCAACTGTTAGAAATACTCCCTGTATTGTTTCCAGCCACCATTTGCGATATTCTTCGTCTGACCTGAACGGCGGTCCGTTGTTTGAAATGTGCATGTGTCGTCTTAAGTCATCATATGAGACAGAAGTGTCACTGGGAAGTTTAGTTTTTAAGAGTTCGGACAAACGAAAGTTGAGGAACAAAAATTTCACTTTTTCAATAGTAATCCAATCTTTTGTAATGGGTTGTTGGTCCTTTCGCACTTTGTGTTTCTGGTCTTCGTACTCTACCCATTCCCGTAAGACATATATTGAGACAGGCTCATTGTACCATTCAAGTGTTGCCTTGTTGTTTTCTGCTTCTTTCCCTACAACATGATAATGATGCTGAAATCACTGGAAAATCAAGAGGCCAATTAAAGAGCTAGCTATTTTTCACCTGGCTATTTTCTGAAATGAGGTTGAGATATCTTTGTAGAAACAGAACAGCCTGATTGGTGTGACAATAATTTGCAATGATAAATGTCTGGTCATCCTTTTGCCACTTAATTAAGCTATGAACCTCAAAGGAGAGTTAAGGCCCCTTGTTTAATATAAAATCTGTTTGTTAAAACTTACCTGCTTCTGTTTCCATCTCATTTTCTGATTGAGCTTGAGAAGCGTTCTCTGTTGATTCCATCGTCAGAGTGGTATCATCTTCCTCCTCTTCCTGATCATAGGTTTGCTCCTTGAGTTCTGTATAAAGACGTTAACAGGTATGTACAGGTTAACAGGTCAAATGATGAAGAATGCAAATGAAGTTTTCATTTCCAAAATACTTCACAGACAAAACACCATCTTTTTTAATTCAGCATCAGGAAAACGCATAATGTAAAAATCAATATCAAATATTTCCCATTTCTCCAATACTAATGTTCCCAAAAGGGAATGACCGCACCTTTATAAAACATAATTTATTTTTAGTTGGCAGATGATAATGATAATTAAATATATAACACGATAAATTAATTTGCATACACCCATACCTACCTTACATCTGTATGATGCAGTGTAATTCATCAAATTCTGGCATACTGTATCTATTACTTAATTCTAAAGGTGCAGTAACCTGACTGTGTTAGTGTGTTCTACGTTCAACTTACAAATCACTACAGATTTATTTAGCCATTATTATTATTATTATTTTTTTTTGAAAAAGGGTTGGAAAAAAGAAATGGTCAGACCAGGATTCGAAGCCCGGGCCCCAAAACTTTTGACAGATGCTCTAACTAACTGAACCATCTCGTCATGATGATTGACCCAATCCTGTTCCATTACTTGGTTTTCCTAACTTTGGCTCTTTTCACGATACAGTTTAAGGTCTGTTCTGGTAAATGTATGACTGTAAACCTAAAGAATGTATACCTTTGTTGTACTTCAACTGATAAGGAGTACATGTACATAGTACCGAATGTAAGACCTTTTTTTACAATAACAGACACACCCCATATAACACTTACCAGAAGCTGATGGTTGAATTTGCTGGTTTTCCTGGTTACTTTCCATACTTGGTGTTCCAGTTTCGTCATTATAAGCCTTTCTGTTCATATAGCCAGGCTCTTCCCCCTGGTGAATGACGTCATTTTCTTTGTCTGCCTCTGATGACGATGCGTTCTGGAAAATTATATTAGGTCCATTTAACTCATGGTTAATCAGGTCTTGTTCCTTTGGGGTATCTAAATTATTCCACGCTTCTAGTTCACTTGTGTCAGGTGTTGCTGCTATTTGTCCCGCATCAGACTTTGTATCATGCTGCTCGTAAAGTGCGGTTCGCTCATCTGTTAAGTTTTTACGAGCTTCGCTAACCATTGCTTGGTCTTGCGCGGCTTTCAACAAATCAAGGTCTTCCAGTGAAGTAAGGTCCTTTGTTAATTCAACTTTGTCTTCTTCACCATTTTTATGATTTAAAGACAATGGTACATAGCCTGTCTCAACAGGTTCATCAACAGTGTAGTTTGTTGCATCTGTCGAATGTCTGGGTCTGTATTTTGTCAGTACCGATTCCTTCAGTACTATCCTTGCCTCAGGATTGTTTTCTTTGTCATGATGTTCTGCAGGAAAACCTTGCATCATGCTTGCTTCTTCTTCCTTTTCTTTTTCCTCTCCGCTTTGGTGATGACTTACGTCAAGAATTCCTTCATCGGCTTTCTTCATACCATCTAACATGTTTTCGCGCTCTAGGTTTGCTGCAACTTTTTCGGTACGATTTGGATCGTTTTGTTGGAGTAGTTGAAGTTTCTCTGTCCTAAAAGTACTAGCATTTGGTTCATCATCATGCTCATTGGCTGGTACAGACGCTGTCATGTCATTTTCTTCCTGCCTATCAGCCTCTACATGTACCTCGAAATCCCCATGATCTTGTAAGCTGGGTGATCTACATATTTGGCTTGCATCTTTGAATCCGGATGACTCGTTTTCTTCCCTTCCTAACCCAGATTCCTTTACGTTTTTCTGTTCATCTCCTTTCATCAGCTGCCCATTTACATCCAAGGTAGACACAGTGTTTCTGCCAGATTTGTCGGAGTCAGCTTTTGATTCATTTGTTGAATGCTCCATAGATTCCTCACTAGCTCCTTGGAATGAACTTTCTAAATATTTTGATCCGCCTTTTCCATATATGACCTCAAAACTGCTTATCGAAACATTACCTACGGAGGACAATGACGGAAGTTGGTAGTCAAAACTTCTTCCTCTCTTTTCAATAATGTCGTTGGGGTAATCAGATTCACTTGTCTCATACAATTTCCGTCCTGCGACATTCTCTTCATCATCGGAAAAGTCGTTTTCGTCCTGCCCATCAGCCTCTAAATCTACCTCCAAATCCCCATGATCTTGTAAGCTGGATGATCTACATATTTGGCTGGCATCTTCTAATCCGGATAACTCGTTTTCTTCCCTTCCTAACCCAGATTCCCTTTTCATCACCTGTCCATTTACATCCAAGGTAGACACAGTGTTTCTGCCAGATTTGTCGGAGTCAGCTTTTGATTCATTTGTTGAATGCTCCATAGATTCCTCACTAGCTCCTTGGAATGAACTTTCTAAATATTTTGATGCGCCTTTTCCATCTTTGACCTCAAAACTGCTTACCGAAACATAACCTACAGAAGACAATGACGGAAATTGGTAGTCGAAGCTTCTTTCCTTTTCAATAATGTCGTTGGGGTAATCGGATTCACTTGTCTCATACAATATCCGTCCTGCGACATTCTCTTCATCATCGGAAGAGTCATTTTCTTCCTCGTTTTCAGACTTTGTTGATACTTTTGCCATTCTGTCCAATGATGCACCATAACTCGATATTGTGCCTTGTTTTGTTCCATCTTTCGTTTGAGGATTATTCGCCAGAGGAAGTCTATGTGGATCCATCAGGTACCCTTCAGTTTCATTTGTTTTTCCAGCGATATAATCGCATTGGATATTCAGTGGATCATTTTCATTTTCGGTCGTGTTTCCTGCATCCTTTTCGGCCATGTTTCTGGTGTCATTTGTGTAATGTAAACCGATTGCATCATCTCCTCCACTAACTCCCTCGACACCAACAAAGTTTTCTACTACCGGTAGATCCGCACCAGTGAAGATGAAGTTCGACTGTAATTCTTTTACTTTTGTCTCAGAATTTTGGAAACTTTCTGACATTGAATCAGATAAAACGCAAAAGCTGTCTGTTGAGTAACCTGATCCCTCAAACCTTTTGTTACGTTGATAATTGCCAGCGTTTACAGAAAGTTCCAACGCATCTTTGTCATCTTCCACATCATTGCGATGATATCCACCGGAAGCTTGTTCGTTCATGTCGAGCATCTGAAGGCTGGGCATAGATTCTAATATACTCCCGATAACTTTGTGTGTCAGTTCTACTGGTGGTTGACCATCTGTTTTACCTGTTCTCTTGTATTTGGATTCAGAAGAGCCGCTCTCAATGGTGTCTAATCTTCCTTCTTTCACTGGAATTAAATTCAACTCTCCTGTTGATGTATATGAATGCTCTTTTGAATCATCTTCTTGGTCGGCACCGAACGGGTCCCTTTCAGATGCCTCTTCTTGTAAAGCATTTACTACTTCATCCCTTTCTATCACTACCAAACTCTCACTCAAGGATGAATCCTTACTTTTTTCTTCTATACTTTCTGGTTTGTTCATGTGTTCGGGAATGTGGATTTGTTGTACATTACTGTCAATGTTTGTCCTGACTTCCTGGCTGTAAGAAGTGGAAACGTCAGACGTGCTGACCTCAACTGTAACTGCAATTTCACCCGGTGGTTCCAGTCCGATCAAGCTGTTATCTTGCGGTCCACACTCAGGAATTGCGTTGTCAAGCTTCTCTGGTAGTGTGCTGTCTGTTACAGGTGAAACTGAATCCTCTTTCTTTGACACCGAAGGTACGGTATTTTCGCCATCTTCCTCGTCCTTAGCAGTAACAATATGAGAGTCTACTCTTTTGCAATCGTCCTTGTCAAATTCACCATTTTTACCTTGTTTTCTCAAACTGTCTTTTTGCCCATTGATCTCTCCATTCTGGTGCTGTGTTGAATCCGGTCTTGCTGTATCCGTTGATTCGGTATAAGGAATATCAACTATGGACACATCCAACTTTTTGTCTTTTACATCAATGAAATCATCTTTCATTGGAGGTGTTTCTGTTTTTTCTTTCATTATGATAGACTCCTCCTGATTTCCGCTCCGTGTCAATTCTGATGTCTTTTCAACATTTTTCAGATGTTCATCCTCACCATGTGACAGATCGTCTGTGGAATTTACCAGACCAGCGATCATTCTGTCAGTGATATGCTGGGGGTTGACCTCTGACGACAAGGAGTTGTCAAAGTCTTCGGGTCCAAGCACAACAAGACTTTCACCAAGTGATCTCTCTCTTGTTTCCATCTCGTCAGCGAGATGGCCATCCTCATCGTTCATCTCAGATGTTGTTTTGTTTTCTGACAAACCATGTTTGTTCTCAATTTCAGTACTTTCTCCCACTTCAGACACTGAATTATGAATATCATCTTGGCTAAGAACAACTAAACTTCCGTCTAATGATACATGCTTTATCTGAGATGGTTCTTCATCCTCTTCATCCTTTACTAGATTTGCTCCCACAGATTCTGACAAAGTTTTACAAGATTCTTTGTCCGTCACATCTTTCAGCTTTTCCAAATCTTCATTTTCCAACCCACTTTGGTCAGACACTTGAGATTTCTGTGTATCAAAATCCTGAGGTTGAATCTCCATACTCGCAGTTGTGCTGGTCGTTAAGATTTCAAAACTTGAACTTCCACTGCTGATCATGGAGAAATCAAGGCTTGATTTTGGATTATCTTCATCACAATGTACAGGAGGAGAGTGGGATACCTCAAACTGGGAGTCAGCTTCCCCGCCACCTGTTATAGAAATCAGGAAACAGTTTACTCGTTGAATGTACAGTACAGTACATACTTTCACATTTATCACAATTCGGCACTTTCTTTGCAATTTTAAAAGTACTTAATTATGACAAGTACTTAACATAAAACTATAGCTATCCCCAGAATGGCAACACTTTCACCCACGCCTGCGCTAATACCTACAGAAATAGTTCTTAAAAGAACATCTTTAAATGAACAAGGCAAAGCCCTTGCAAGACGACAATCCATAGTCCCCCACAGGTAATGGTTTAACATTGAACTGCGTTCAGTTGGCATCCAACTGGACAAAGGCAAATTCAATGAAGGACGCTTCATGTTGGATTTACCATTGTCCAGTTGGATTTCATGTAACCTATGAATGCCGACTGAAAGCAGTTCAAAACTTATATTTACAATTTTTGAATCTGTTTATCTCATAAAAAATTCCATTACACTTATTATTCAGCATTTAGTTCAAATAACGTACGTAAAATGTATGCTTGTTCAATGAATAGAACAGCCATCGCCCAGGGAAAGTTAGTGGTATCGAACGTAACAACTATGACGTCATAATAATAATGACGTCAACAATCAGCCCATGGCATTCATAGCCTATATAAATGCCAGCTGAATTTGGTTGGATTATATAGCGGCAATGCCATACAATGGTTAATATTTCTTTGTACACCTATCTCAGAATATACATCTGTAGGTCACAGTAGCATACATCTGGTACTCTGCACTGTACTCTAATATATATATGAACATCAAATCTGGTTATTCCATGTGAAATAGTATAGAAGATAAAATTTTGCAAAGGATAAGGTCAAAGGTCAAAGCACAAGTCACAGTCACCCACTTTTTGTATTTGACACCTGACATCCCAAGATGTACTTGCATACTAAATTCTGCTATTTCAGGTAAAATAGTATAGAAGATATGCCCCAAACGATATTTTTAAGCTAGAGGTCAAAGGTCAAAGGTCAAAGCACAGGTTACAGTGACCTTCATTTTAAACTTGACACTTCTGTCAGAAGATGTACATGCAAACCAAGTTATGTTTCCCCAGGTAAGATATAGTTAAGGCAATATGCCCCAAACATATTTTATTTTACAGATTGAGGTCAAAGGACATTCAAGCCATAGGTCATAATCATCTAAGTACACTCAGACATCCCAAGATGTAATTGCATACTAAATTTAACTGCTCTAAATAAAATAGTATAAAAGAGATGCCCTAACAAATTTTTGGCAAATTTTAACAAAACGTGGCATAACTACCATAACAAGAGGCCCAGAGGGCCTGTATCGCTCACCTGAATATGTTTAAAATATTTGGTATGAAGTGAAAATATAGCACTCCATGCTAGGTGCTGTAAGTACATATGAAATTTCAGAAAGATCCATCCAGTACTTGAGATAGGGCAAAAACAAACTTCAAACAAAGCCCAACCCCTATGTCCCTATAGGGGGGTCATACCCACCCATTTTACAAAATTGAGTCCCCTTGGCCCAAGGAATTGCTCCAGACTAAATTAGGATAAAATCCTTTAATCCCTGTGGTAGAAGAAGGATTATAAAGGTTTTAACTCTATTTCCCCTATTGGGCCCCGCCCCTCAGGTCCGAAGGGGGGCCACACCCACCGTTTATACAAAATTGGTTCCCCTTTACCCAAGGATGTTCCACACCAAATATAGACCAAATCCTTTCATTCCTATAGAACAGGATGGATTTTGAAGAATTTGCTATGTTTCCCCTATTGGGCCCTGCCCCTCAGAACCCTGGGGGGCCAGACCCACGGTTTAAATACAAAATTGATTTCCCTTCACCCAACGATACTTCAGACCAAATATGGAACAAATCCTTTCATACCTACAGAAGAAGAAGGATTTTAAAGAATTTGCTATATTTTTCCTATTGGGCCTCACCCCTCAGCCCCCAGGGGGGTCAGACCCACCGTTTATACAATATCGGTTCTCCTTTACCCAATGATACTTCACACCAAATATGGAACAAATCCTTTCATTCCTACGGAATAAGAAGAATTTTTAAGAAATTGCTATGTTTCCCCTATTTGGCCCCGCCCCTGGGGGGCCAGACCCTTGGTTTATATAAAATTGGTTTTCTTCCACCCAAGGATGCTTCAGACTAATTATGGAACAAATCCTTTCATTCCTACAGAGAAAGAAGGATTTTAAAGAATTTGCTTTATTTCCCTATTGGGCCTCGCCCCTCAGCCCCCAGGGGGGGCCACACCCACCATTTACACAAAGTTGAGTCCCTTTGGCCTAAGGATGCCCCAGGCCAAATTTAGTCAAAATTTAATTGGCCGCGTTCAGGACTAGTAGCGTTTTAAAAGAAAAGTTGACGGACGGGCGGACGGTTGACAGAAGCTGTGGTATGGCATAAGCTCACCATGGTCCTTCAGACCAGGTGAGCTAAAAACTGCCAGATTAAAATTTAATCGCAGGTGCACAACTTTACAGTGGGTTGTCTGCCTCAGTTAGGTAAGTTTCATGAATTTCACATGAAAACAGTAGTAAATGTTCTGACAATATTGTGTCTACAGACAGACAGACAGACTGAAATTGACAGACAGACAGACAGACAGACAGACAGACAGACAGACAGACAGACAACAGTATACCACCCCACTGACTTCGTTTTTAGGGGGTATACTACATTGTAACTGTATTCCTACTGTAGCGGTAAGTCATGAAGTCACACATGTGCATTAATGCGCTAATTATACAAGTATATTTACAGCATATAAAGTTAAGTACTTTTATTGTCGCAAACTTTTGCTCATTATAATTCTTCATCAGTAACTCAGATCAAGCCTTCAATAGATAGTTTTGAATTCAATTTAAATATAAAGTGTTTAATTTTAAGTCAAGTTAATCATAAGTACTGCTGGGGCAGAATATTATTTGTCTGTTATATATATATATGTTTTCTAGCATCAAATTGCATTGGACGTTTGAGTCATATATCTATAACCCTTTGGACACATTTAAAAAAAAAATTGTAACCAAATTTAAAAAAAGACTTAACATGGAAAACAAGAGCACCACAAGCGGAAGCATGATACACCCTTCAGACCCTAGGAAGGGTATTGATATGTTGGAAGCAGGTTGAGTGACATGATATAAATGTGTTTATTGCCACCGTTTTTTTGTTGGTGACCGTGACTTTGCCATTCATTTACTGTGTTTAATGGCACAAACTATTTTGTATTTCAGAATTACACTTTCGTGGTCAATGTTGCTATTACTAAAACTACAGGACCATGGCTTTGAGGTAGGAGTCTTGAACTGCAATTTGCCTCTAGATATTAGGGCATAATATACATAATACATGGGAAAATATTGAGTCGAGACATCCAATGTCAAGATGAATGATAGTCAAACATATTTTACTTCGTTGAAGATGAATGCTGAAATTATATATGTTAAACATGTTTTTTATTTTTTTATTTCCATACTAAATTTGAAAGGAATTAAAAAAATAAAAATAATTTGGCAATGAAAAAGGGGCATAACTCTGCCGAATAGCATTAAAATGTCACAATTTAAGAACTCAATCAAAGCATTCAGATTATGAAACAACCAAGTAGTTAAATAAATATTGGAGAAAAATTGTTTGAGTTATCGTGTAAACAAGAAATACCTAAAATAAAGCACAGCGTTGCTATGTCAAGTCTGATACGCCAAAACGCGGAAAGTTGAAAAGTAATAACAGAAAACCCGAAATATATGTTGAACATTATTGCTTCTTACATTACCATACCAAATTTAAAAGGAATTGATAAAAAAAATAAAAAAAGTTCTTGAATTTACTACACAATGCCCTTATTTAACAATGAAAGGAGCATAGCCCCGCAATGAAAAAGGGACAAGACTCTGCGGAATAGCATTTAAATATCAGGGCTTAAGAACTTATCCAATGCATTTAGGTAATGAAACATCCCACCAAGTTTGACAAAAATTGAAGATCAATTGTTCGAGTTATCGCGTAAACAATCAAAAGTTAAACAGCAAAAACGATTTTGAACAGCGTTGCTATGTCAAGTGTGATATGCCAAAAAGCGGAAAGTTGCAACTCAACAAAAAAAAACGTAATACACGTAAAACATTATTGCTTCTAGCATTACCGTAGAAAATTTGAAAGGAATTGATTAAAAAAAAAAGTTCTTTCGCTACACAATGCCCTTATTTGGCAATAAAAGGTGCATAACTTCACCAAAAATGCACACACACTTTTGAAATATGAACTTGTTCGAGCTTTATTTGTATGCAATATGTGTATGTTTCATCAAGATATGTTCATGAATGAAGGCAGGAGAGTGCACGTGATGACAAGGAAAAGTTAACAGACAGACATCGGACTTAGGACAACGCAGCCCATACCATAATACGACCGGTCGGACGACGGGTGTATAAAAATCACTTCAAATGTACTGTTTACTCAGAGGAATGAAACATTTGTAATATGTGTTGAAAAGGTCAGAAATGTCTCAGCATAAGAGCTAAGGGAGGCAACCCCTTTAAGACACAGCTTAAGAAAAGATTTTGACATAGATCCTCTCATTTGTCGCAATCTGTAACTGAACTATAACCTAGGGGTTGAGTCGCCCTTTGACCAATACGTCAACGTTAAAATAGTTGAATACAATAATTGAAGTGTTATCCATATTGAGATTTTCATTTATTTGAATAGAAACAAAATTCAAGAAATTACCATTTTTGACCAATACAAAAACTGGACTGAAGAAAATAATTACAGGGAAAGGTTTGTGATCTTACAGTCAAAACCAACAGGTCAAATCTACGGGTAAAAAGTATCGTAAGGTTTAGCAATTAAGGGCATTAACTCCAAACGTTACAGTTGAATAAAGGCAGTAAGTGATATTAACTTATCCTAGCTTTCGTGGTAACTTATCTTTTTCCAATATCTCATGACTTTGACCTTTGGTGAGTTACCCCTCTAAATATCTTAATGTTTTACAAGTATGCATGCACAATTATTTTTTCACAAAATTATCGCATCAAAATGATTTTACAAAATATAGGTCAATGCTACCTAATTTTAGTCCATGACACACCTTAACTCCAAAATCTAAGAGCTCATGAGATTAAGTCAGCATTCTAGTTATGAGAGATATAAATACTACTGGCAAAATCAGGATGTTCCCCATTGAATTAAATCTACAAACATATTCGGTTACTGATAACCTATAGCTAGGACACATGTTTAATCATGTCATACATGACCTTCACATATCTTCAGGGAACAATGACGCTACCTCAGGTAGTCATTTTATATTGATTATTTACCAAATTGATCAAATGAGATCCAACAATGACTACAAAAGTATTAAAACACAGACAAAAGTTGAAGTATACAGTTTAGAGACAACGTATTTCTATACTGATGTTAAATAAGCTTTATGTTAGAAAATAATTTAATCAAAATTTTACCTGACAAATCGTTACAGTCCTCTTGATCTGAAGGACTGCCTGTAGCCATGGTTACTGTCGTGTATCACTCTTCGTGCGTTACCATAACAACTGGTCATTCACCATCTTTAAATTTAAAAAAATGTCATCCCATGATTATTGATTTTTTACAGTCATTAATATACCTCAATTAAACATGATCTTATTTCAGCATGTAAGTATTGCTGTGTATATGTCTTACTCTACTAAAATATTGAAAGGTTCATTACAAATAATATTGAGTAAATTGTTATGTGTGTCATACTTGATGAATTATATGGAGTATTGGCTAACTCTGATACCGTGATTGTGTTTATTTCTTCATGTCTAGCCAGCAGTTATATTTTCATAGGTTGGATATCTCAATAGTTTCAAAGAAATAATTTAAAATCCTCAGGGGCTGGCAGGACCCAGGGCCAACAATCAGGGTAGCATAACTGTTTTCATCTCATCACACTTTGTAAAAGAACAGTCCAGAAATCAAATATTGTAACATGTGAACTAAATCTATAATAGAATTTGTTTTAAAGAGTGTTGCGCATGCCATCCTTTAAGAATTTAAATCTGGTGTACAGCTAGATAGCAGGCACTTGATTTGAAAGCCCTTCTGTTATGATTTTTTTTTTATTTGATATTGTTTCATTTGGGGTAGAGGGTGATTAAATTAAACATCTTAACCACGGAGAGAAATTGATCCAATCTTTTTTTTTCTTAGCCAAATGACCAAGAGAAAAAGTCCTGCTTCTGCAAATGTTTTGTTATTTGAAGGGTCTTAATGTAAATTCACTACATCTATAAACAGCAAGTTGTTTTGTTGACACACTGACAAGAATCATGAAAAAATTGAGAGTTCTATTTTGAAATAAATTAGAAAATAGTTCATCTCGGGCAAAATATATTTCATTTTTCAATATTTTGAAGTTAACTTTCCATTTGCTAGTTAAGTTGCAACTTAATGGTTGTTTTCATTTATTTTGTAACACAACGTGTAATTTTTTGTTTTATTATATACTTGTCTTTGATATATGGGTTGTTTTGCCGTTGGGATGGGATTGAGTGTTAATGAAAATAACATAAATAGAAGAAAACAAGTTTCTTTAGAATTGGATATATATAAAATAGTAGTTACTGGTTATTTATTCCCCAACAAATTAATATTAAATATTCCCAATGTTTTGAGATATGTTTTTTTCTAACCTGGGTTAACAAGGACATCCCTCTAGATTTTTAATTTTTTTTTAATTACTCTTATCTTTTGCCTTTTATTGGATTTTATCTGGACCGTATGTCACGTGTAAACCTTCCTAAAATCCTTTAAAATATCAATAAATCTTCAATTTTGGCCCAAACAAAGTAATTAGAGGGTTTAGAATAACACAAATGAATATATGTTTTAAATGTCTCACGAATTTCTTACGAATTCAAAGATAAAATCTCACTATTTTTGACCAAATCTCACTAAAAATAATCACTGATCTCACTATTTTCCACCGGAAAGTTATGGCATGTATGCATGTGCTCTGCTTTCATGTAAACTAAACCAGGACACTGTCTGTTATGAATATGAGCCTTCAGACAAGCTTTTGAAGGCAGCAAAATCAGCAACCATGAATTATAATAAAAGTCACATTTAAAGTTGTAAAATTGTTGTTTAATTCCTATAAGTATATCAAAAGAGGGCGAAAATGACGATACACGTTATGACCCTGATTTGAAAACCCCAAAGAGGGTCATCACCCTGATTTGTATGCTGAGAGGTTGACAGGTATGCAAAGGCAATACTGCAAGCTGTGCAAGGCCTTATCACATCACCAACTCTATATCTGCCTGTATGTGCCATATCAGCTGGGCAAAACCCATATCTGCCCAGCATACGTCATATCCTATTTTACTTCAGGTTGAACATATTTCAGAAAAAAAAATGCCTTACTATGCTCAATATTTTTTTATAAAATAATAACTTTGATACCATACAAAATACTTAGTGTAGTCAAAAAGGGTTAAAAATCAATGGGTTCTATAAATAAACTAGCTACCCTACATCAGAAAAAGATGTCCAAATCAGTCCGAGTGCATAGAGAGTAGGATATGAAAATACGAAAATGGTCGTAAGATAATTAGAGGTAAAAATATTGACTATTCCATATCCTTCCTGGTATCAAGCTGAGACTAGATCGGCCAGAGGGTCTGGGGGCTCAAAGGGAAGAAGGTTTGTTTGTGTTTTATGTCCTATTAACAGCTATGGTCATTTAAGAACGTGTAGGTCTTGAACCCGCAACCCAGAGGTGGATCGAGCCAGACTAGTAGTAGCAGAATGTCAGACACCTTAAAAACTCAGCCACCCCACCCCAGCAGAAGGCTGATAAAGGGTAGCATATCAAAAGATCATATCATAGCAATTTGAGTGCATGTACATGTTAACTCATTCACCCCTGAAGACACATTTTAACTCTTCCAAATCAAAGGTTGGAATAGTTCATTTTGAAATTTCAGGGGTGAATGAGTTAAAGGGACATCACGTGAAGAGCCATATTTTTTTTTAATGAATGTATGTATTGTACGCACTTCCACTTATGTTACATCGCTATTCCCATATTCATAGTCCGTTCCAAATGTCCAGTTTGACCACTTATATTGTTCGGGAAAGCCCTGCTAAAATTAGCGCCGATAACTTCACCTGACTAGCTAGGCAGTAAACACAAGTGGTCTGAGCGAGATGAAACGGTTTCCAGAGGGGCCCCCGGAGAGGGGCCGTCAGGCAACTTCAACTTCTTACCGCGCTATGAAACCAAGTAATATGATTTCTAAGTCTGTATTCAAACTTATTGAACAGTAATTATTCATCATCAGAAGTTATTTGCACGCTTGCCAATATTCAGAATTTAAATTAATTTAGCTTTAAACATATTTGTTGCCAATAAAATTGAACAAGGCATGGGGCACAAGTTTTTACAATTTATCACAGCCTTCTCCCACGGTCCTATCTCCTGTCATACATTTACAATTAATTGTCAACAATAATAATAGGCTTAAACGTAAAGTAGATATTTATAAATATATATTGAATTTAGTATCGGAATGTGACCGGTACAGATCTAGATGGTACAGGGCTATTAAAAACACCTTCCCTCAACCATTGGACAAACCTTTCTGATTTCTTTTTTGTATATTGCCGGGGCAGAGGAGACCGGGTATTCATATTAGTACTAATTTAAATCTTGCATGTAAAAACAAAAATAATCGTTTAATTCAGCAATATAATTAAATCATACCATTTTACTGAACCCGGTAATATTATAAATTATGTAAATCTAATAGCGCACGTATCTCGATGACCCCGAAAATATGCCATGGCATCACAACAGTTATCCCTTGGAGGGCCTCATTGCAAAATCAAACTAACCAGCCACTTATCCCTTCCTTTTGCATAAACCAGTATAATTATAGAAACACAAAGTAAACTCTCTCCGATACATGCCCATTAACATATTAAACGAAGTTCATCTGTGTTCAAACTCAGACAAAGATACTAGCGAGCTTAATAGTTTTAGATATTTATCCATAACATAAACAGCGCTAGCATTTCTGCCGATTTCATTTCAGCTTAACCGGCAATCCGGAAGAATACATGCACCATACTTACTGCTAGGGCAGTTATTTTCTGCTTTGAATACTTCCCACTGGCAATAATGATTCCGTAACGTACTCCTTGCGCTATCTTTTGACCATTTGGCAACTTTTCGTTTCGTAGCTGACATGGTACAACACTTTTCTTTCGCTTACTTCACACGGCCAGTCATTTCGTTTACAAAGAAATGGTGTGCTATGCGAATGCGCTAGTAGAGGGAAATTCCTGAACAAAATGTTGGTCAGACAGGTAGAAATACCGATGATTTTATTAGATTTAATCATTTTTATGAATCCATTTCAGCCAAATCCGATCGTTATTTTCCATGTATCACTTGATATGTTTATGTAGTATTTGAAAAAAAGATACAAATTTTTTTTACTTCACTGTGATGCCCCTTTAAACACAGGTGTGATTTATAAAGGAATATTTTGAACCAGAAGTAAATGTATATGGTTCATGCCACCCAGATTGTGCAGACCAATATGGTGCATTCCGGATATGGCCTATGCAAAGCTTAGCTAGCAGTATCTAACATGCAAAACAAACCAGTATTTACATGTAGTTTATGGTAATATCTATTATCTTCTCCTTTCCCATGATATAAGGTTGTTTTGCTTGTGTGTTACTGCTGGCTGTGCATATTCCATAATGCATGACTGTCCCATATCTCACAAAAACATGCTATATCAATCTGATTTACTGCCTTTTCAATTCAGTCTAAGAAAATCAAATCCTGCTTCAATTACACTTTATTTGTATTATTGCTAACGACTTCATGCTGTACTAAAATATTCACAACGTGTGTAACAAATATAGGATTGTGGCATTCATTCATGTAAAACGACAATTTTCATGCAACATTGACATGTTAAATTGCCGCCATTTTGACTCCAGTGCATGCCTATGTATGTGACGTCATGTACTTATAATTGTCCTAGGCATGACGTCATAATTGAAACAATTGAAATTTACAACCAATCACAGGGCTGTTAGGTCGTATTACATGAGTTGATACGAAAAAACATATGACATGGGTATAGTCACTGGATAACACAGTACATTACTTGATAAATAAATATGTTATAATATGGCCGTTTCCATATCCTAGCTACTCCGAGTGTATCGATCCTCACCTGGGGCCAATATCAGCCCTTAGCCTACAGCCCCTCTGGTTACAGACATTTCAGTACCCGGTCATTTTGGTACAGATGTTTCAGTACTTTAATTGTTACCAATATGTAATTGGTACTTCCCTAAAATTGCTTTGATATATTTTTTAAGATTGTCTGCACTTGATTAATATTTCAACTTTGTAATTTGGTTTGCTCCTGCAGGTTGCTGTTTTTAAGATTCTTCAGCATTTTTGTTTTTACTAAATATAATCTAAACATACTAATTCCTGGTACCGAAATACATTTGTATAAATATGTTTAGAATTCTCATGGCCCCTATAAATCGGATAGATATATTATTGAGGCCTGCTACATTATAGTGATGTGGGGTAGGATATGGAAACGACGTATGATGACCTCTAAATAAAAGATTTATTTCGGTTTGAAATATCTATTGCATTAATATTTTTGTGTTAAAATTGTTTAAACCCTACATGTAGCTACCCGAGATGTCACTGATGACCATATATAACCGGTCAACTGAGCAACAACTTTGCTCCACTCAAGTACACGAACTACTGATAATACCAATTCATCTTACATGTGTCCCTAAATAGATCTTAGATTTGGAGATTTTACAATAAAATATAAGGTCTGGGTTTAGGATTTTTTACATGATATGGTAACTAAAACCGAAAGTAGAATTAAGATTTTGGTTATACAACCATGAAAATCTGCTAAAATTACCACATTTCAACAGCTTATATAACAACACTATTTCACAATATGACGATACAGGACATATTTCCTACCTGATGACGATCAAAATATCAACAAAAATCTGTCAATCTTGTCGATTGCGTGGTCTATCGATGGCCATCAACTTTGATTGTGTGTTTGAAAGACGTTCATCCCTCTCTACTACAAATTACATGAAGAACCGATTGTAAATTTGGTTAAATTTTGTCTTATTCCCTAGATTTTTCGAACCTTCAACAACATACCTCCTCTGGCCAAATCTTCGACCTGTTGTCTTCGATCAGTCTCAGTCTGAATATGCGCATGATCAAAATAATGACGTCCTTGAACAAACGAAAGTGAAAGTAGGAAATCCGGCCGATTATACAACATTAAGTATGTGTGCCGTGATCATATGATGGTTCAGATTGTTTTGCACTTAATAAAGTTAGTTGACGAACACATCGCTATACGTGGTTGACTTGTTTACAAAATGAAACAAGGTATGAGTAGGAGCTATAAATAGATTTAGCTTAATGAGGGTAGACAACTCGTATGATCGAATAATATTTTCCAAAAGATTTTTTTTAAGTTAACGATTTTTTATGAATTTTATTCGTAAGACAACGTTATTTATGAATATCTTTTTTTAAGTAGCTTGACACATTCTGAAAGCTAACACATCCCTGCTAAAACGGGACACTCTAATTTCAGTTCAATATATAGTGATTCATTTTTTATATCAAAGCAGAGACGTATAACAGTTTCAACCTTCATGATGTATTCTCTTTATTTTTATTTTTATTTTTAATGCCTCCGCCAGGAGTCGAACCCAGGACCTCTGGCTTACAATTCCTACGCTCTACCGAATGTTCTACCTATCCGACACTGCAGGGCGCGGCTAGTATTTTACCAGGGTGACATAAACTCCCCGCCCTCAAGGAAAGAACTCGTCCCGAGTTTTCCAGGGGTCATAGCGATTCCTTTGCAAGCATCGCTGAGTATTTTTGTCATATACTTCGAGTCCCTACGTAGGCGCCAATGTAACAGAGGTCACTGATTATTTTTGCAATGCCTCCGCCAGGAGTCGAACCCGGGACCTGTAGCTGGCTTAAATTTACTAGTCCTACGGTCTACCGAATGAGATAAAGAGAAATTTTCCCTACCCTAGACGGTAGCAAGCGGCTAGTATTTTACCACGGTGACATTCAATAGATACCGTCTACTTTTTTCTTCTAAAATATGATATGAAATAAGAATATAGTGAAAATGATATCCAAATAATTAGCGTCGCAGGGCAGGTTCATCATCTACACCACGGACTTAGTGTCTACACGTCATATGAAAGTTATGTTTTCGTAATTATTTCTAACTTAAACTTTCCGTGTAACCATAACCATACAAGAGCGTTAAATGAAAAAGAAATTGTGCTGTACCTACAACAATAACGATATAAATGTATGACACAGGACATTGTATGACTGTAGATGTAGTCCGGTTTCATTTACGCGTCATTTCCGGTAGCTTTTCATAAAAATGACGGAGTCTGGAAACTAAATTAAACTGATAAAATCGATGATTGAATTGAAACAAGAATGATTTCTAAACAAAGCAACAATATATTTATCTACACAACAAGAGAGTATGTGAAGATCATCACACAAAAAACTGTCGCACTGGGCTTACCTCTTCAAGCGAGGCCAACTAAATCTAGGTGTGACGCTCTTTTGTGGTCTCTACAATCCTGGAATATGCCCTAAAAGGGCTGTGTTCGAGATGACTGGATGACAGACCTGATAGAACCTAACAATCTTACTATCAATCAATGTCAGGAGCCATCTAACTATCGGTCAATGTCATGAGTCATCTAACTATCGGTCAATGTCAGGAGCCATCTAACTATCGGTCAATGTCAGGAGCCAACTAACTATTGGTCATTGTCAGGAGACATCTAACTATAGGTCAATGTCAGGAGCCATCTAACTATTGGTCAATGTCACTAGCCATCTAACTATCGGTCAAATTCACTAGCCATCTAACTATCGGTCAATGTCAGGAGCCATCTAACTATTGACCAATGTCACTAGCAAGCTAACTATTGGCCAATGTTACTAGCAATCTTACTATCGGTCAATGTCACTAGCAATTTTACTATCGGTCAATGTCACTAGCAATCTTACTATGGGTCAATGTCACTATCCATCTCATTATCGGTTAATGTCACTAGCAATCTTACTATCGGTCAATGTCACTAGCAATCTTACTATCGCGCTCAGTGTCACTAGCAATCTTACTATTGGCAAATGTCACTAGCCATCTAGCTATTGGCCAATGTCACTGCATGGTCATCTAACTCTTGGCCAAAGTCACTAGTCATCTAACTATCGATCAATGTCACTAGCACGCTAACTATTGGCCGATGTCACTAGTATTCTAGCTCTTGGCCAATGTCACTTGTCATCCAACTATTGGTCAATTGCACTAGCCATCTAACTATCGGCCAATATTACTAGCCATCTAACTATCGGCTAATGTCACAAGCAATCTAACTATTGGCCAATGTTACTAGCCATCTAATTATTGGCCAATGTGACAAGACAGCTAATTATTGGCCAATGTCACTAGCAATATTACTATCGCGGCCAATGTCACTAACCAGCTAACTATTGGCCAATTTCACAAGTAATCTTACTATTAGACAATGTCACTAGGAATCTAGATATTGGTCAATGTCACTTGCCAGCTAACTATTGGCCAATGTCACTAGCTAGTTTACTATCGACCAATGTCACTAGCCATCTAACTATCGGTCAATGTCACTAGCATGCTAACTATTGGCCAATGTCACTGGTCATCTAACTCTTGGCCAATGTCACTAATCATCTAACTATTGGCCAATGTCACTAGTCATCTAACTATTAGCCAATGTCACCAGCCATCTAGATATTGGCCAATTTCACTAGTAATCTTACTATTAGCCAATGTCACTAGCAATCTAGATATTGGTCAATGTCACTTGCTAGCTAACTATTGGCCAATGTCACTAGCTAGTTTACTATCGGCCAATGTCACTAGCCATCTAACTATCGGCCAATCAATGTCACTAGCCATCTAACTATTGGCCAATGTCACTAGCCATCCAATGTCACTAGCAATATTACTATCGAGGCCAATGTCTCTTGTCATCCAACTATTGGCCAATGTCACTAGCCATCCAATGTCACTAGCAATATTACTATCGCGGCCAATGTCTCTTGTCATCCAACTATTGTTCAATTGGTCTAGCCATCTAACTATCGGCCAATGTCACAAGCAATCTAACTATTGGCCAATGATACTAGCCATCTAATTATTGGCCAATGTGACAAGACAGCTAATTATTGGCCAATGTCACTAGCAATATTACTATCGCGGCCAATGTCTCTTGTCATCCAACTATTGTTCAATTGGACTAGCCATCTAACTATCGGCCAATGTCACAAGCCATCTTACTATTGGTCAATGCCATTAGCTATCCAACTATTGGTCAATGTCAGTAGCCAGCTAACTATTGGTCAATATCACTAGCCATCTAACTATTCGCCAATGTCAATAGCCATATAACTTTTTGCCAATGTCACAAGCCATCTAACTATTGGCCAATGTCACTGGCAATATGACTATCGCGTTCAGTGTCACTAGCCGGCTAACTATTGGCCAATGTTACTAGTCATCTCATTATTGGCCAATGTCACTAGCAATATTAATATCGTGGTCAGTGTCACTAGCCAGCTAACTATTGGACAATGTCACTAGCCATCTAACTATTGGCCAATGTCACTAGTCATCTAACTATAGGCTAATGTCACTAGCACGCTAACTATTGGCCAATGTCACTAGTATTCTAACTATCGGCCAATATAACTAGCCATCTAACTATCGGCCAATGTCACAAGCAATCTAACTATTGGCCAATGTTACTAGCCATCTAATTATTGGCCAATGTGACAAGACAGCTAATTATTGGCCAATGTCACTAGCAATATTACTATCGCGGCCAATGTCACTAACCAGCTAACTATTGGCCAATTTCACTAGTAATCTTACTAATAGCCAATGTCACTAGCCATCTAGATATTGGTCAATGTCACTACCCAGCTAACTATTGGCCAATGTCACTAGCTAGTTTACTATCGGCCAATGTCACTAGCCATCTAACTATCGGTCAATGTCACTAGCATGCTAACTATTGGCCAATGTCACTAGTCATCTAAATATTGGCCAATGTCACTAGTCATCTAACTATTGTCCAATGTCACTGGTCATCTAACTATTGGCCAATGTCACTAGTCATCTAAATATTGGCCAATGTCACTAGTCATCTAACTATTGGCCAATGTCACTGGTCATCTAACTATTGGCCAATGTCACTAGTCATCTAACTATTAGCCAAAGTCACTAGCCATCTAGATTCACTAGTCATCTAACTATTGTCCAACTACTGGTCATCTAACTATTGGCCAATGCTATTGGCCAATGTCACTGGTCATCTAACTCTTGGCCAATGTCACTGGTCATCTAACTATTGGCCAATGTAACTAGTCATCTAACTATTAGCCAATGTCACTAGCCATCTAGATATTGGCAAATGTCTCTAGCCAGCTAACTATTGGCCAATGTCACTAGCTAGTTTACTATCGGCCAATGTCACTAGCTAGTTTTCTATCGGCCAATGTCACAAGTCATTTAACTATTGGCCGATGTCACTAGCTATCAAACTATTGGCTAATGTAAATAGTCATCAAACTATTGATATCGGCCAATGTCACTAGCTATCTAACTATTGGTCAATGTCAGTAGCCAGCTACCTATTGGTCAATATCACTAGCCATCTAGCTATTCGCCAATGTCACTAGCTATCTACCTATTGGTCAATGTCAGTAGCCAGCTACCTATTGGTCAATATCACTAGCCATCTAGCTATTCGCCAATGTCACTAGCTAGTATACTATCGGCCAATGTCACAAGCAATCTTAGCATGCTAACTATTGACAAATGTCACTGGTCATCTATCTCTTGGCCAATGTCACTAGAAATCTAACTATTGGCAAATGTCACTAGCAATATCACTATCGCGGCCAATGTCTCTTGTCATCCAACTATTGGTCAATGTCACTACCCAGCTATCAATTGGCCAATGTCACTAGCGATATTACTATCGCGGCCAATGTCTCTTGTCATCCAACTATTGTTGAATTGCACTAGCCATTTAACTATTATTGGCCAATGTCACTAGCGATCTAACTATCGGCCAATATAACTAGCCATCTAACTATTAGCCAATGTCCCTAGCCATCTGATTATTGGTCAAT